AAAAAAAAAAAAAAAAAACAGCCCCGTCCATCATTGTTTTAAATCGCCCAAGTACGGACACTTACTGTAGATTCTCCACGGCTTGCACCGTTTTCCCTCCTCTCGCCCCGTGACGTCCTTTAGTCTAACTCCAACAATGGAGCAGCAAGGTTTCTTGTATATGGACTCTACTTTCTCTCATCTGTTGCAAGGTTAGAATTAAAAGTTCCTCTCTTTCTCCCTTTTGTCTTCTCGGGTTCCTACTTAGGTAATACCTACCTATTCTATCAACATACGCTACTTTCTGGCCTGCCTTGGTACTTGTTCTGTCGCCATCATCAGGCTTCTCCTGCCCTGCAGCTGCGTCCAGTCCAGTTCTGATGCCCCTACGCGTCGCCTTTCATTGGTAACAGCTTTTAAGGCTTGTTTATAACCGATTTAATTAGACAACCCAGACTTGGACTTATTTTGGAATCCGGGAGATACTTTCTACGATTCTCCCATTGCAATCTCCATGTCAACAAGGATCATTTCGCCTCAGGATCTTGCTGCAACTGAGGCTGGATCTTCACCTTCGCGCTCCCAGAGGCCAATTGACTTGGAGGAGATTGATGGAATTGCAGGACAACAAGGTGTTGGCAGTGCCACGATCACTGTCACTGGACAAGACGAAGGAGAAGAAAGTGGTGGTGCTGGCAACCAATACGGCCACATTCGCCCGACAACATCATCTCACTCGCTTCCTTTGCCACCCTTGATTTCCAATGATCGCCGCCTTCATCGAAGCACAAGTCCGACTACGACAACACAACAGCCGGGACCTTCACTTTCCCCTCCTTCTTTAACTCTTTCAGGTATTCAGACGCCGCGTCGAAGAAGGGCAGCCAACTTATCGTCGACAAACCTCGAGCTGCCGCCAATCAATTCTCAGGGAGACGAGCCTTCGGGGCATCACAGTCAAGCGCTCGAGAATTTACTGCCTCCAACCAATTTTGACGACCTTTTCTTAGCCGATCTTGCCAGTGGTGAATTTTCTTCGCCTTCATCGTACCCGTCATTCGGCAATCCGGATTCACAGCCGAGCCAAAGCCAGACTCACCGAGTAAGCCAAGCTTCAGCGCTTCAGGCTTCCACTTCCGCACCGCATCTCGCAGCTGTCAACACTGTCAACAACGCCCCACGCGACCCCTCTGCCGCTCAACACTGCATCTCTAATATCTTGGGCCCCGAACGTAGCACGACTCAACTTTCTTCTTCCACCAACGCAGCTGGCGAATCCCAATCAACCTTACATATCTTCGACTCTTTCGACGATAACGATATTCTCTTTGATAGCCCTGCCAGCTCTTTCTCCGACACCATGCCTCCTACCATCAGACGAACCACCGCAGCAGCGACCTCTCGAACTGGCTTGGCGCCCACGAATAAACGACGACGAACATCTACTGCGGCTGCGAATGGGAATGCGACATCGACGAAGGCACACACAAGACAGAAGAAGACTTCAACAGCCAAGAAAGATGTGGATGTTGATGAACTGTTCTGTTCGAGCCCCCCTCGCAATTTCGTTGATCTCGAAACCAACGAAGAATACGATACCGTCGACTTGACTGGAACCAATGAGATTCCCGAAGATATCAAGACGCTGGAGAAGGATGACCGCATCAAGCTTGCTGCCTTTCAGTGTGTCATTTGCATGGACGACTGCGTTAACCTGACAGTCACGCATTGTGGTAAGTTATCTACAGATATGTCTAGCTATCTCTCTGGCTGCGCCTAGCAATCCACTGACACTTCCATTACTAGGGCATCTTTATTGCGCTTCATGTTTGCACCAATCCCTGAGCGTCGATGCCACCAAAGGGAAGTGTCCCATGTGTCGACAAAAGCTTGATATGAAGTCAAGAGATAGCTACAACAGCAAGACTAAAGGGTACTGGGCTCTCGAGTTGAAGCTCATGACTGCCACGCGCAAAGGAAAACGCAAAGCCAATACCCTATCCTGATATGTCCGGCAGCATCAGATAGCGTCAAAGGTCTCGTTTCTGTCACGAGGTTCCCGAAGAATTTGGCTTCTTTCTCCAGAGTTCTACAGCCTCTTCTGGATTACCCTTCATGCCGCTTAGGCTGGACATACTGGGACATAAAGCTCGGCACGAGTATTGGTGTGCCTTGAACCGTCGTACGTTCTCCTTGCTTACTCTTTTCTTTCTTAGCATAACGGAAGGTGGATCACTTGGGGCGTTGAAACAAAATACCCAGCATTTACATGGATAAGGAGACCACCGAACACATTGATTTAGCGTGCAGCCTCGTCGTTCAGGAAATGGCGCATCCGGGAGTATAGGGAGGGATAAGTATTATGCTGAGACCGTGGAAATGCATACGGATAAACGCAGACGTGCTGTCACTTATTACTTGGGCGAAACGGTACATCGCGCATAGACCTTAGACAATTTCACGATCTATTTTCTTATCTCGGGACAGCGGATCTTCGTCATTGTCCCCAAATACCGAAGATCACCCCAAACCTTTTCCTAGGCCATATTGTGTGTTATAAATCATCATCGCGTGTCTTGTAGGGATTGTTAAAACCATGAGAAAAGGACCACTAAGGAAGTTCCTGGGCTTCAGCCTAATCAACGAGCTGTAAAATGCCTTAATATAACCTCCATTTACTTTTAATTGTCTACTAAAAGGATTGATTATTTATGCCACTCGTACTAAGTAAAACACACAACAGATAATCCATCCCTTCCAGTCAACGCCGCGTAGTTCTACAACTTGTATCCCATCTCAATAGACTACGATCTCCTATTCTTATTGCAGGTGATCTAGTGGAAGAGCCCATGGCTCTGCTGTGTAGGCTCAGGAAGCCCCTCATTTTCAAACTAGAATTTCACAATTAGCCAGCTGGATATGGTATGTGTATCAAAGGGACTCTTTACCTCAAGGAACCGTGTTGCTGCGATTATGACCATTAAACCTTCGGCCAGCTCTTCGATCTTCTCATCCAAACCCTCATCCGCGTTGCCACTTCCGATGCCAGCACTGCGCTTCAGTGTATGTGTGACGAGCATGCGATGGTCGGTAAGGAACCGGCGGCCTTGGACAACATTGTGACTGCCGCGAGAAACAAGCGCGGCACCCACAATGCGAACAACCTGGGCGAGGAGATCGTAGTGTTGCTCAAGGGCGCGCGAATTTGTGCTGTTGATCTGCAGTTCAGGATCTGCACCGAAAAGTCTAGAGATCTCAAGGGCACGGAAGAGGTTGGAATGAAGGATATACTTGGCCCCTGAACGAGTTTGTGCGAGCTCAAGAAGAAGGGCAAGACGTGCGTTTTGATAGTTCTGTTGCTCCGAAGTGCCTATGATCGACGTGTTAGCAACACCTTTGATAGCGGAGTCAATGTAACAAACCTGATGAGAAGACCTCGTGCCATTCTTGCATGATATTGCGCAGCGAATCAACCAAAATTCCAATAAAGTTAAGTCGGTTCAGAGTTTCAACCACATAATCCTCATTCTCCTGGTGGCCCATGCTTATCAGGGCGTTAAGAAGGATGAGCGCCGATGTCTGACACTGCGCTTCGCCGCCATAGGCGTCATCGCAGATGACATTGATTAACCGCTCACCGTACACTTGAATAGTCTTGATGGTCTTCGAGCGGTTAGAAGTGAGTGGCCCTTGATCGGCCATGCCAGTCAAGTAACGATAGCAGATGCCGTAGTAGACAGATCTTAGCTCTGGCGTACCAGCCCACTTGCCAATGGCCTGCAGGCAGATTTGGAAAAGCTGGAAGAGTTTGTCGCTGATCAGGTTGCCGATAGCTGAGCCTTGCTTGTCGTCTGCCGACGCCGAAAGGTCAAGCTTGAAGAGCAGAACCTTGGATAATTTCGCGAGCTCAAAAGCCTCATCTGGTCTTTCTGAAGCAAACGCTTCCAGGCTGGGCAAAATCGATTGCAGAGCCTGCAGGAAGAATGAGATTTGTGCCGAGCCCTTGAAATCATTCGACTCAATCATGACCAGAAGTAGTTTAGTCCACGTCTTTAAAACCTTGAGGCTCTGTGTTGTTAGCTGCTTCTGACGATTAGAAGAAATCAGGTATTCTATTATCATGCTCTCCTCTCTTTCGATGGCAGCAAGATCCTGGGCAGCAACCAAGACTCCCACTCCATGGGTCTCGCCGCGCTTTAGGAGTAGAACCTCTTTGACGCGGTCAAGGTTGTAAATTTGGTTGCCATCGGCATCGTTCTCTAAGCAGCTTGTCAAGTCAAGATCTTGATAGTATTGGAGAGCAGGCAAAGGGACATCCCAGACACCTTCTGGAAGTAGGAAGTCGTAAAGATCAAAAATTGTAGGAATGGGGATAGGAGTATTTCCCTCTCCAATAATCTGACCGTTCAGAGCTTCGAATATACGACGCTTGACGCTTGGCATACGGTTTTGTGCTATGCTGCAAAGTTCCATGGCGATATATTCCAAGCCCATGCTTCGAAGCGACAAGAAATCTATCAAGGCCACAGCCCCGTCTGTGACAGGGAAGTGAACCAGAGCGACATTCTCACCCTCCCAAGGCAAGTCGGGGTTGATGACTGTCTCCCGAAGCAATAGGTGAAAGAGAATCTCATTTTCACGGAGCTCCTCGACTACCACAGGAGCAGATAGGGGGGAGCTCCAAAGAATATGCAAGATACGCATCACTCGTGACTTGATGGCGATAAGCCATTGTCGCATTCCCTGTGCATCGCTGGAGGGAGCTTCTAGTAGCAACCGGAGTATTGTATGGAACAGAGAGGTTCTGGAAGCGAAAGCGCCCGTAGCTTCGACGGAAAGAGAGTCGATGCCACACTTGAAACCAAGCAACAGGTGTGCAATTGTAGGCTTGCGCGGCGTTTCTTGTAAACATTGATACAGAAAGTCGAGAATGTAGATTTTGGTCACATAAGCTGGCGAGTCTGCCTCACGTCCCGTCTCCAGAGGGGTTATCAGCTCTGAGACAAATGACCGGGAGATTGTTTCATGTTCACCATTTGCCTCCAGGGCAACGATAGCCTTGTTGCGATGCATTTGTCGACTAGATCCTGACCAGACAGCAGTGATCTTCGACGAGGATGACATCTTTTCGAGTAGTTTCAGGCATGCAAGGGTCAACTCTGGGTGTCCAATGCCACAGTAGTTACCTAGATCGACAACAAGGTTCAATCGGGTAACCAAACCATCTTCAAATGAAGCGAATGCAGCATTTGCTACAGGTGGTCGGCGTTGATTTGACTGAAGCTTGACGATGGGTCGAACAAGCTCAAGGTATGTGGCTTGGAGATCAAGTACCTTACTGATAACCTCAACGGCGCGCAAGATGCCAAGAATTAGAGGAGAGTCAGGCGAAGCATTTCCAACATCGGAAGGTTCTTGGTGGATAGTGTTGAAAAGAGCTGTCATAACCTTGTCGTTAAACATCCATTCCATCACTCTTGCAAAAGGATGCATTCGCACATAGGTTGCTAGGTCGGTAGTCGCGATAACGCTATCAACATTGATGTTTGTTTCATTCGCCATGATGATGAGGTCCTCGTTGAAGGTGTTTAGGCAGATCAGGATGAATTCCAGGCAGCTAAGACGCAATACCCGGGTCTGGTTAACATCCTGGAGATCATTGGCCTTTGTGGCAAATACTTGGCCCATCACAAAGTCGACGTAAACTTCAATACCGGGCATGCGGGAGGAAGACCCAAGACTCTCAGGGAAAGGGAGCCCATCATTGAGAGGACTACTGTCGGTGGCTGGGGAGACCAGGGAAAGCAGAAGTTGGATAAAGGATTCTGGGTCTTCGAATCCATTGCTTATTTCATCGAAGATGCGCTCCATGAAGACGCTGGGCGACTGTTGCGATTGACGATGAGAAGTGACTGGGTGAAGAAAAAATTCCCCGGTGATCCATTGATCGAGGCAATTCCACATGACAGCACCCTCATGCAGTGACTTGCGTGCCATCAAAGCCCGCAAAGCCATAAAGGTACAGCCGCGTAGTCGGGGAGGAATATTGCTACTAGCGAGCTCGAACAATGTCTCAACAAGATTGTAGTTGGGGTTTTGAAGAAGGAATTGCCGCGTCGTCTCGCTTTCGCTGGCCAGCTTTGACATCAAACGAAGGTAACATTCAAGCATCATGGCCGATTCTGGTTCTGTCTCCGCTTGATCGCTGCTCATCTTTTCATTGCGATAACGTATTGCCTGAGGTGGTGTCGGCTTTTGCCTAATCTTGGCAGAGAAGAAGTCAAGTTCTTTGAAGATTTGGGCCCATGTCAATGACTGCGACTTTCTCATCTTTCCGGACGAATGGTGGCCCTCATCGATCAAAAACTCATGCGCAGCAGAGGCGCATTCTTCATTCTCTGAAATAGCCTGGAGCATTTCGCAAAAAGCCGTAACCAGAGGCGTCGACGCTCTACGAGAGGCCCAGTGCATAAAGCCAGCCAGGTTACTATCGGGATCAGACCAGAAGTTCATGGCAGCGTCGGGTCGTCCCTCGTAAGCATATGCAATGATGAGCAAGAACCTTTCAAGGTCCAAATCCTGCTCGTGTGTCTGACTGGACTGCCGTTGCTCGTCCTCTTCCACGCGAAGCTTTCGTAGCACGTCGGGAAGGTTGGATATAAAGCCATCGACAAACACCTCAAGCTGCAACATAAGGCTCATCTGGAAGAAATCGGCAAAAGGAATAGCATCGGGGGCAAGAGCAGGCGACTTTCGCTGGAGCCACTTGCGCATACCCGCCCTTACAGGGTCGTGCCAATCCGGAGATTTGACATCGGCCGCAATAGAGAGCAGGAAGTCGAAGGATCCGTCCTTTAGAGACTCCAGAAACGCTTTAGATCGCTGTCGGTCCTCCTCGTCCAGATCAGTATTAGGAGGAATTGCTGCCTCGGGGGGGTCATCGACGTAAAATCCACTGTACTCTGCAAGCCACCAAGCCCGAAAAGCGGCTTGCAGCTGTGACAACGGCCATGGAGAGCTGTCTGCAGGGAAGAGCTTACCGTGCAGTTCTCGGGCTTTGATAAGGTCGTGCCCTCCTTCAGCGGACCCGAAGACCGAAATGTATGCTCCTATAGATGGAACGAGATGAACCAGTAAAGCATCGTACCTGTCGACCTTTTGGAGAACAGAAACAAAGTCGAGAAAGTCTTGTGTCGAACCCTGTCTCATTTCAATGCTTCGACAAAGAATCACACCCAGCAACTCATGCTGCTGCATCAAGCTGACTCTGGAGAATTCGATAGTTTCCATCTGCTCGGACACACCGCTCGTGGTAGTCTGGCCAAGGGTCTGAGCTGCAGCAATCTTGTCTCCTATCTTCTGAAGCCACATCTTGATCTCCCTCATCGATGCCATGCACCTGGGTACAATTCGTTTTGTAGCGTCTGCACCCATGCTGGGCTGAAGCAAGCGTTCAGCAACATATAGCTTGACACTTTCGAGCGCTTCTGTATCGGCAAGATCATCGTCGAGACCTTCTAATTCGAGGAGGAGTCGCACGATATCGAGAACATATTTTCGCTGTTGGTGAAATCGGATGATGGCGCACTCGAGGAGCGATCGACCCAATGTGTTTGTGTCTTCTTGCGATTCCAATAGGCATCGTGTAGATTCAAGCTCATCGAGCTCTACTTCGTCGGAGAAAGTAAGAACATCTTGTTGGAAGTTTTCGTTTATCGAGTATTCGTCGCTATCGATGACAACCTTGCCTGGACTTGGTGTTAGATGGGAGATGATTCTTTGCGCCGGCGTATCCCTTACCAGATTTGACAGCATTTCTGTTATCTCCCTTCCTCGCTGGCTTATCCCAGAACTTCCCTAACTCTGTCTCGAAAACTTGAACCAGGAACTCATTGCCCAGTGCCTCTGCGCCTTCGACGCGACCTTCGCGTAATGATAGAAGCCCTTGGTGGAAGGCTTGGAGGGCATCTAAAGCGGTGATCTCAGCCATTTTTGCGGTTCAGGACTATCGCATGTTGATCATAGAGGCAACAGCTAACGAGCAATGCAAGCTGGAAAGATTGCACCGTGGTGCGGGACGTATAGTAAATACTGAATCTTTTTGTCGACTATTGGTAGTGGTCGCGGTTTTGAGATTCTTCAAACCAGCCTTGTTGACTTCCCCAGTTAGAGAGCTCATCGAGCTATTTGATTGGTTAGGGGCACGATTGTTTTAGGCGGTGAGTGGCTTTCTGCCACCTACCTTCAGCTACCAGTAAAGGTAGCTCCCGCCTGCGAAGTGACGGGACAGGCAGGAGCCCACTAAGGTAGGTGTTAGAAGAATTCCTTTGAGGCTTAGGCTACAGAAATAAAGTAGCCTAAGTGGTAGCCTAAGCTGGCATAAGATGACCAAATTATTTCGCCTCTTATGCTCTCGGCCAATTCTTCTGACCCCCTGACGCTTAGCGGTACCTTAATACCTAGCTTCCATTGCACCTGCAGTCAGTACCTACTAATCTACCTAAATATTAGAAGTCGATTCCATGTTCACGTTTATCTTGGGGTGGCTTCAAATCCTTTGACGTTCACTCGATCTACTCTTTCTTTCTTTCTTTCTTTCCTCCTTCTCGTAATACTTCTACTCGTGGTTTTCGCGACCTGGTTGAGCTCAGACCACATATAATCCATCCGCCTTCGTCTCAGTCGCGCTTTCTATCAGTCCCAAACACCATACGCAGATGGCAGCCACTAAGCTTTAATGAAGGAAATAAAGATTCGTGACCATCAACCTACCTACCTACCTAGCCAATCTCACACTCGTAGCCCATGATGGCCTCATCTCATGGCTTCAACGTCATGAATCTGGCGCGTTCGTAACCTATACTATGCCATGGTGTTATTAGTTGCGAAAACTGACAGAATCCAGGAGATGTAAAGTCTGCCGCGGTCAGGGAGCGAGAGAAGGCCGTAGATGGTACGGTGCTTTCCTCTTCTCCATCTGAGTTATCAAGTTTGGCTCACAACTATTACAGAGCTATCTCATCTTCTTAACCCTCGAAATCGATCTACAAATCTGTAAGCACGGAATAACGCCCCCCTTTCAAACCCTCTAACAGTTCACAAGTTCCGACCTTGGCGACAAGAGCTACCATGAAATATTTGAAGCTATCTTCAGTTTTGTGCTTCGAGAGAAGCCACTTCTTTATGATAAGAAGAAATCTCAAGCTACTTTGAATTCTACAGCAGCTCGGTTGTCGAAATGCGCCGATGCCGTGCGCATGGCAGTGGGACGTGGCAACTCCAAGATCGGACGGAAGACACTCCTTGCGATCGTGGATCACATTACTCAAGTCCTCCCTGGACCCAACAGTGATGATTTTGTAACTCCTTTGCTCCAGGACTACATCAAAGCTTTGACCGAGGTACTGTCCAGACCAGCTCACGTGGAGATTCTGGCCAGAAAGGGTGGTCAACCCTGGGAACTCTGTGTTGGCTTCTTCATCGACGTTGCTCAGTATCTGCTTCCCGACGAAGGAGATAACCCGAGTTTGGCATTAGCTCGGGCATCGCCAGCTCTGGCTCGTTCATCACCAGCGCTAGGGTCGGGATATAGTCGATCTGCAGGGCGTTCGACGCCTTCAACGCAAAGCCAAAGGAAAACCGTGCCTGGAGAGGGCGGTCTTCTCAAAGATGTCTTGGAAGGGCTGTATTATCTGATCACAGCTGGTAATGCGCCCTTACTTGGGCAATACAAAGATATCACACCAGTCATACTAAGGGTCTTGAGCCTCAAGCAGCTTAGCCTCGGTTCTCTGCAGACTTTGGCGTTTGCCATTATCAATACCATATTCACCACTACACACGCCGACGACTTGGTTCATGCCAGCTCTGTTGTGCACAGCCTTTTGCCACTTATGAGCTACTGGTGGAGATCCGAGAAAGTATCCCAAGACGAAGTCATCAGAGCACTCAGGATTGAGATCTCCAGAAGCGTTTTCTTGATGCACCTCCATATCGAAAATTTGGTCGTTAACTCCTTAGACGAAACAATCCGCTTAGACCTTGAAGACTTGGCTGAGAATATCTGGTCGGAGTACTCCAAGCGTGGCGAAGCGTTCCGTCTGCAGATGAGTGACATAACTTTCACTCTATCGTCTTTGCCAAAATACGGGTTGCAGCTGAACATCTTCGGTCTTCGCGCACACAATGTATATGGAGAAGGACATTGGGCTATCGTCCAAAACCTGGCATTCCTAGAAGGTATCATGCCTCATTCCAGACCGCAGGCAGATACCACAGAGGAGCATGAGCACCCACGGAAAAGGCGGCGTATTCGGCAAGATATGAGTCGTATCCGGCTCAAACTCAAGACTGTTGAAGTAGCAGTTCGGAGGACTGCCCTGCAGCTAATTCCATTCCTCTTGGCCGGCAACTCTTTGAGTCGCGATGAGCTCCTCGATTTACTGCCCGAATTAGTATATTTAGCAGCTGACAAGAACCATGTCACAGCTTCTTGGGCTCTCATAGCCTCCGCAAGGTAAGAAACAGCTAACAGAGGAATTGGCCCCTAGAGGCATAAGGGACGAAATAATTCAGTCACTTTATGCCCGCTTAGACTAACACTTAGGTTGATTTATTATGGTAGCCTAAGCCTTAGAGGACAATTCTTCTGTTACCCTGAGGAATCACACTACTACCGCATCACTGACACTTCTCAGCTGTATAAGTAATTCGAGAGACTGCCACGATCAGGGAGACATCTGGCGTCAACTGTGGCAGCTTGCTATACGTTCTGTCACTCTTCCGGGAACAAGTCGAGCTGCCTGCGTGCTCCTACACGCCATTCTTGAAACGGATGTTCTACCTTACCATACAATTTCTCAAGACATCAATAGTATGGTCACAACTGCGGATGTCAACGGACCCAGTGTGCTGTGCGACGCCTCCATCAGCTTAATGCTTCATGTTCTCCATTTACGAAACGCTCGAATTCCCAGCGCAAGTCAAAATACCTGTCACCATATCATCCGATGGGTGTTTCTTCGATGGAACCCATGTGAGTCTCTGTCATGTGATTGAAAGCTCGTGTTGACAGATTAATAGATGAATCGGCATTTGCTTCTTACCACTCCCCCCATGTTCAACCTATTCATCTGGTGAATTTAATTCGAGCTTGTTGTGGGATGACTGCATTGAACCTGAACTCACACCAAGCAGCGCCTGGAGGTCCATTGACCGAAACATGGAGCTCATTCAAATATACCGAATCGTTCACTCGGTATATCCTACTTACAAAGGATGCATCCCATGATACGGCTTCCGTTGGGGGCTGCAGCTTTTCAGGACCCAATCTTTCAGCTCCATTGGCTGATTCCAATACACGCTATGCTTCCCAAAAATTGACACTCGAGCTGCTTTACCCTAAGCTGGGTGAACTGACAGATCTCTGCATTTCTTGGACCAAGAGAATGAACGAAGGTGGTATACAAATCTCACTTGATCGTTTTCAAAGTCTTTTATCAGCTTGCTTGAGTGGTACTCTATTGCTTCCTATACTCAATGGCCTCAACTCAACTCAGTCCTTGTCTGTTGAATCTACATTGAAGGAGATTCTAGACAAAGCGTTCAATTCTGCTTTGACATCGGTTGAACCGGCTGCCTTTGTTGATTCGGTCTTGCGAGCCGTTCGAACTGTGATGCCAGATCTAACAACTTCAAGTCTGAATCAAATGCTAGCAAACAACCAATGCCTGCTTCACTTGTTTGGAAGGATATGCAAGTCCGTTGAGGAGCAAAAAGAGCAAACAACCCTTGACAGCAATATCGATCTGATGGATATCGATGAGGATTTCGATTCCCAAAACAGCAGGGCAAGCTCAGTACATGCGCCAGTGGCAGTCCCACGCTTTGTTATCCAGATGAAATTGGACACGCGGGCTTTTTATACAGAAACAAGGGCTCGGCTTCGATTACTGTCCATTTTGGATGACGATATTGGGCAGATTGGTCTGATTCCCGACGCATACGTAGAGCACCTTATTGACATGCCTGATGAAGACTTGTTGATGTGTCGGAATCTGTTGCTTGAAGTCTTCGGCTCTGATCTCATCGTCACACCAGAGAACACCTTGTCAATCATTGAAAGACTTGGACAATACGTTGGTATGCTTGAATATCAGTGTGCTGAAGTTGCTCTGAGCACTTGTATTGGTGTGATCGATGGACTGCATCCTGTTTGGCTGAACGATAAGAGTCATCTCTCTGAGCGAGTGGGCGATCTCTACTATCACTTCATTAAGGTCTGCTTAACCTCGAACATCCTTTCGCCTGGAGCGCAAACATCAATGGTACAGCTCCTGTTTTCATTGTTACGGACCAACACAGATTACGGTAGAGACCAAGGCCTCGATTCACCACGCACCTGTCTACTCTATATCCTGAAAAACGGACCTATGTCTGTCAAATACGCCATCTCACAAAGGATTGCCGATGTTTTTGACTTGTTTGTTCTTAAGCTTCATGATGAAGTATTCGTGGACGTCCTGGACAGTTTGCCCACGGACCCGCTTGACACTACTGGTATTGCGTTTCGTCTACTGGTACTGTCGAACCTTGCCTGCAGATGGTCAACCTTGCTTCGGAGGTGTACCTATCACATATTCGAAACTCCAGGAAAGATCCCAGTCTCAACAGACTATGCGACTCGGTGCTTGGTCAACGTATCAAGAACGCTGAAGTTGGACTCGCCCAAAGCCTTGTTCAGGTTGTTTGCTCGGCAGCTTTTATACACCTGGCTGGAATGTGACCCAATTGAAGATGTTCCATTTTCGATTTTTGGTTTCAAGACACTTGGAGATCTTCTTAAATCTGCCCAGTCTGAAGCTATTGGATTAACTGTGATGCGTGGTCAGGGCGAGGCGTTTGCTGAAGTTTGCCGCCTCCTGGGTAGTTCTGAAAGCAACCTTGTTCGTGAAAATTTCACCACCGCTGTTGCTTACAGCATGATCTTTGGAGATTCGAATGGAGGCGATGACAAGGAACGTGGCGAGGCTCATATTAAGAAGTTACTCGGACGCACGGCTTACATGGAGTTGGTATACATCAATTTCATAGACATCGCAGCACTATTCTTCGACCTCATCGACCAAGAAAATTCTTTGGAAAGGGTCTTTGCCAGATTCAAACTCGATTACGCTGGCGAGATTCTGAGCGCTATAAAGGCTATCTCTCACTCTCCTGCCGAGCTGCCAGCTAACCAACAGCCAATGTTCAAGGCCAAATACCTTATCAATGAGCTTCACAGACTCTGTCAAAATACCGAATTCCAGTTCCATGACTTGTGGACACCTCCAGTGGTCGTCTCCATTGCTCGCAAACTTCTCAATACTGTACATACGGCTTTGGGGCCTTTGCATGCTTGTTCTGTTCTCCGGAAAGTACGAGTTCTAATCTCTCTTGCTGGCTCAGTGGCTTTGGACTCATACCCTTTGGAAATGCTGCTCAACGCTACCCGCAGCTTCATCACCGATTCTGAGTGTGCAGACGATGCCCTGGGGATCAGCCAGTATCTTCTGGCCGAAGGGGCCAGGCATCTTAGCAATGTCCCGTCATTTCTTGCCGGATATGCTTTGTCGACCTTGGCATCTCTTCGAGTGTTCCTAGAGTCAAGCCAGTCCAGCACGACTCAGGAAAGCCAGTTCAAGGCGACAATGAGCAAAGCGGAAAAGTTCCACGGATGGTTCAGCAAATATCTTGAGGACTATGAATCACATATGTTCAAGACCATCGAGCAGAGGAACGCTTTCAAATCGATCACTCAGTCTGCTGCTCGTATTCGATCATCAGGTAATGCCGAGCGGGGTACTGCAGAGAGCAAATTACTGTTGGACATTCTAGCGGACGGAGGCGCGGAGAATCAGCTATTAAACGACTCTTCTCGCCAACTTGCTCTTGGTCTTCTTTGCGGCGACTTTAGCATCCCCGACACGATCAAGGATGGTATCATCGAGTCTGACGAAGATGCTTTGAAACACTCGACTGCTGTATGGAAGAGTTGCGACACTGAGAATCTTAGCAAAGAGTATCTTGCGTGGGCGGGTCGAGTTGTCGGGCGAGCATTCTCGGCGTCGGGAGAGATCCCAACCGACGTCCTACGTGAAACCTTTCTATCGCGGTACCAGCAAATGGCTCCAGGGTCCAACGGCTCCGAGATGGGCATACTATACCTTCTTCAGGACCTTACCTCGAGCCCTGACTCTGTTACCGCCGGCTTGGCTGAAGCGGCTCTTAGATCCATTGTTTCAGATGCCAACATGCTGGATGATGAGCCTCTGACCGTGGCTTGCCAAAAGAGCCTGACGGAGTCGCTCTTGGTGACATCTCAATGGGGTGCGCATAGATCGCCTCCATCTGATAAATGCTCTGCTACACCTACATCTTCGCCAGCTCAACAAGATGTTTGGTCTGCAGATATCACTTCGAAGGACTGGCTGCTGGGTCTGAGCGCTCATCTTGCTCGATGTATCCCTGACTCGATTATTCTTTCGGTTCTTGCCCCCATTCTCGCCAGGGTCGAGCACTTTGCAGAGAGCGCCTTCCCTTTTGTTGTTCATCTTGCACTTTATTTCCCAATTAATCAGCAACACTCCCCTAAGCGCCAGCTATCTGTGGCAATCAAAAACTGGCTTCAGAATACGGATACAGCAGCCAAGGAGAACCTGAAACTGCTTATCAATATGCTACTATACCTAAGGACACAGCAATACCCGAAAGAGTCATCGATAGCTGACAGATCACATTGGCTAGAAGTTGACTCTGCTTTGGTCGCTGCCACAGCATCACGCTGCGGCATGTTCAAGACGTCTTTGCTCTTCGCAGAATATGTCTCGCCTGAAACCTCACGTTCTTCAAGAAGATCTTCTGCAGCAGTGAAGGAGGTGGATATGAGCGAAACTCTTCTGTCGATTTTCGAGAACATTGATGACCCGGACGCATACTATGGTCTACCAGAAGAGCCCAGTCTATCAAAGGTTCTTTCTCGTGTGGAGTACGAGAACGATGGTCCCAGAAGTCTTGTATTCCGGGGCGCCAAGTATGATAGCGATATTCGTCTCGGAAATCCTATGGCCCAGTCAGACGGGCAGGCTTTGGTTAGAGCACTGGGTACACTTGGCTTGTCGGGACTCTCGAACTGGTTTCTCCAGACACAGGATAATGTGGAACAGACTCCAGCTGCTCTGGAGGATACCTTCAACACAGCCAGGAAACTGGAGATTTGGAATCTACCTGCGCCTTCCAGCGACCATCACGCAGTCACGGTATACAAGGCGTATCAAAGTATTCATCAAGCAACAGATATTGATAACGTCAGAACTGCTCTGCATGATGGTTTCAGTCGCACAATGAGTAGCCTGGCGGCCCACGGTCTCAATGCTACAGCCATCAGGAAGCGTCTGGGAGCCCTAGCCTCTTTGACAGAGCTTGATGATGTCCTTGGTGTCACCGATATCACGGAGATGGACACTCTTATCGAAAAGTTCAAAAACCGAAGCGATTGGATGAGAAGCGGATTGTAAGCATTATCACTCGTCGGCGCAGCATCTTGTTAACCATTGCTAGATATGGGAGCGTTAGCCAGATCCTTTCTTGCCGTAGCACTACGATGAGCATGATCAGCCGGCAAAACGCTTTACAAACAAGCATCAAGCTCTCCGTAGCTACTGCAAGGCAGATGGAGGTTGAGGCAATGATCACCGCCTCTCAGATTTATCGCTACCACCAAGCAACACAGGAGAGTGTCAACATCTCCACTAGATTCACTGACCTAATACCATCCTGTGCGGCACTTGACCTTCATGTCGATGCAGCTGTTAATATTGAAACTGCCAACTCCCTCTGGGACTATGGAGAGATGAGCACCTCCATTCGTATGCTCCAGCGCATCGACAATGATTCTATCCTTCAGAAGCAAACCTTGCCGGTCAGTCGGTCTGACTTGCTTTCGAAAATTGGTTATCAGGTGTCTGTTGCACGTCTTGAAAAGCCTCATGATATCCAAAAGAACTATCTGGAGCCTGCGCTGAAGGAGCTCAAAGGTAAGGGTCAAGGCCGCCAAGCGGGCTCGGTATTCCACCAGTTCGCCATGTTCTGTGACCAGCAACTACAAGATCCGGATGGGTTGGAAGACTTGACACGACTGCAGAATTTAAAGAAAGCAAAAAGTGATGAGGTATCGGAACTGAAAACTCTCATCGGTAGCACCAGGGACACTCAGCTGAAGACCAGATACTCGCATGTTCTAAACAAGGAAAAGCAATGGCTCGATCTAGATGAACAAGAGCTACGAAGAGTTGAACAGACACGCAGCGAGTTTGTGCGCCTGAGTCTCGAGAACTATCTTTTATCGCTAATCGCATCTGATGAACACAACAACGATGCACTCCGTTTCACGGCTCTTTGGCTAGAGCGATCGGAAGAGGAAAATACGAACAAAGCAGTTATGAGGCATCTATCGGAGGTACCAACCCGAAAGTTCGCTGGACTCACCAACCAGTTAACATCACGACTCCAAGACCATGGCACCACGTTCCAGAAACTGCTATTAGAGTTGGTCTATAAAATCTGCGTGGACCATCCCTACCATGGCATGTATCAAATTTGGTCAGGAACGAAGGCAAAGGCGCAGCAAAAAGACGACGTCGCCGTCTTGCGTGTCAGGGCAACAGACCGAGTTGCCAAACGCCTGGCCGAGACGCAATCTGTAGCCAACATTTGGCTTTCGATCGACAAGACGAGCAAATACTACCATGCCCTCGCCATGGACCGGAACCCAAACAAATACAAGTCAGGTGCAAAAATTCCACTCAGAGACTCTACCCCCGGCCACAATCTTGTCAACTGTCTTGCCAAGTATCGGATCCCTTCCCCAACTATGCACGTCGAACTCTCCGCAACAAAGGACTACTCAAAGGTACCGATCATCTCGAAACTAGAACCCACCATGACCATTGCTTCGGGTGTGAGCGCGCCCAAGATCATCACAGCTATTGGAAGTGATGGAGTACGCTACAAGCAGCTTGTCAAAGGAGGGCATGACGACTTACGACAAGACGCCATCATGGAACAAGTCTTTTCGGCAGTATCGTCTCTGCTGAAGCTTCATAGGACGACTCAGCAGCGGAATCTCGGCATCAGGACTTACAAAGTACTTCCACTCACGGCGTCATCTGGCTTGATTGAATTTGTGCCCAACACAATCCCCCTTCATGAGTTCCTGATGCCTGCGCATGAAAGATACTATCCAAAAGACCTGAAGGGCTCACAATGTCGTAAGGAAATCTTTGGGGTCCAAAACAGAACGGTAGACACCCGTGTTACTACCTATCGCAAGGTCACCGAGAAGTTCCATCCAGTCATGAGGTATTTTTTCATGGAAAATTTCATGGATCCCGATGAGTGGTTCCTCAAGAGATTGGCATACACAAGAAGTACTGCAGCTATATCGATGCTTGGACACGTCCTCGGCCTGGGTGATCGACATGGGCACAACATCCTTCTGGACCACAAAACTGGAGAGGTAGTTCACATCGATTTGGGCGTAGCGTTCGAAGCAGGTCGTATTTTACCCGTGCCCGAACTGGTGCCGTTCCGCCTTACGAGAGACATCGTGGATGGAATGGGCATCACGAAAACAGAGGGAGTCTTCCGTCGATGTTGTGAGTTCACCTTGGGCGCTCTCAGGGAAGAGCAGTACTCCATCATGACAATCCTGGATGTGTTACGCTTTGACCCCTTGTACACATGGTCGATCTCACCCCTCAGACTCGCCAAGCTTCAAAAAGCAAGACATAGTGATGACAGCCTCATGGACGACGAACAAAGTGAAGCCGAGACGAAGAAGGGCAAAAAGGCTGCAGGCCATGTCAATGAGCCTTCTGAAGCCGATCGTGCTTTGGAGATTGTGAGAAAGAAGCTGTCCAAAACATTGAGTGTAACTGCTACAGTCAACGATTTGATAAACCAGGCAACCGATGAGCGTAACCTGGCAGTCTTGTATTCTGGTAAGTCGACAATTAATTATCATACAATTCTGTATGATATTCTGATACTAACATGTTGGTATAGGATGGGCAGCATATGCCTGAGTGGCGACTTGGAAGGAGCATGGCTAGATATTGTAGAAGGGATGGGTTAATACGATACTGTAAACTACTTTTAGGTTGATCATGGTTAAGAACCAGTCATTCTAATGGTCATCATGAGTTGCTTTATTGTTTTTGTCGCTTACAAACCGATGACGCCGGGGATATGTAGCTATGTTGCACTAGACTTAGATAGCCCCAGATTCCGTTATCTTATCATTCAAGTGCGCAATACCCACCTCAGCTCCATATTAAAGCTACTTACTATCTTTATGTTCTCTTTGCCATCTTCAACCTCTTGAGAAGCGTCTTCATACATCTTCAATAAATCATTTTAATTATCTCTGGTCAGACTGGAATACTGCGATAACATCCGTTTCTCCGCTTTAGTCTATCAAACGCGCAGTGAATTGTTTTGATTGTTCAACGAGCCGAGACCGCAACAGCTCTATCCACGGTTGTTCGTCTTGAGCTTGGTGCTTTCAAGATTGTATTGCTTGGTCCCGCTCTATGCAACCTTTGCCGTCAGAATCGACTTCTCCCTCCCGGCGTAGGCCGCGCTTAGACTCGTCATCCTCGGCGTCATCTCCCTTTGCCACTTCCTCGAAGCGAGCGCGATTCGAAATGACCACCGCCAAAGCGCGGGGCAAGCTGCCCGAGACCATCGACTTAACGCAGCAGCCCTCTGCTTTCAAGCCCTATGCTGGTGCCAAGAAACTCGTCATCAAGAACTTACGAGCACCCACGAATCGAGACAACCAAGTAGCCGAGTACTACAAGCGGACAGAGAAGGAGCTTGACGGTGCTTTGGAGGCTATCTTCGAGGGGAGGACGCCTGATGTTCCTCTCGAGAGGCTTTACAGAGGTGTCGAGGATGTTTGTCGCAAGGGTGATCCGGCCAAGGTCTACCAGATGCTTAATGATAGAGTCGATGTGCATCTGCAACGCACTGTCCTACCAAGGATCCAGAAGAACAGGCGAGCTTCCAATCTTGACACACTGAAGAGCTCTCTTGAAGAATGGAAGACCTGGAATAAGCAAACAGTATGTTTTTGTGTCTACGCGATATCGAGACGCTAATTGATTGCCATTAGATATTGATCAGATCGACTTTCAGCTTTCTTGACCGAACATACTTATTACGAGAGAACTACCCATCCATAAACGATATGGCCATTGGCCAGTTCCGGAAAATGGCGTTCCCTTCTCAAATACATTCATACAAGAACTCGGTTGGCGTGAAAGTCATCGCCGGTATCTGCGAATTGGTCGAAAACGACCGGAGGGGCAATGGCCAGATTGAGCCAGCATTGCTCAAGGATTCTATCATGATGCTGTATGTCTTGGGCGTCTATGTCAAGCACTTTGAGCCCTTCTTTCTAGAGCAATCTGAAGGGTATTTCAAAGAATTCGGTGAGGCTTGGAGCACCTCCAGCCTTAAAGATTATATCCTGGTTTGCGAGAAGCTTCTGAAAAAGGAAGATTATCGCTGTATTCAGTTCAATCTCGACAGCACTACTGAGAAGCAACTCATGGATTCCGCTCATACGCTCCTAATTGGCAATTATTCAGAAAAGCTGTTGAATGGCGGCAACCTAGGGAAGCTTTTAGCCGATAGAGAAGTTGAATCCATGAAGGCTTTATACGATTTGCTGCGGCTGTCAGGCATCCAGAAGAAGATGAAAGCTCCATGGGGCGAGTACATCAGGGGGGCAGGGGCAAACATCATCAGCGATAAAGAGAAGGGTGACGAAATGGTCTTGCGCTTGTTAGAACTGCGACGTTCACTTGACCTGATGATCCGAGACGCCTTCAACAAAGACGAGGATTTCCTTTGGGCCATGAGAGAATCATTCGGCAAATTCATGAACGATAGAAAGGTCGCATCTTGCTGGGAAACAGGGACATCCAAGATTGGTGAGATGATCGCCAAGTACATCGATATGCTTTTACGAGGCGGTCTGAAATCGTTGCCCAAAGAGCTCTTGTCTGATTTGAAGGATCGCGAGAAAGCGCAGAAAGAAGGTCAGGCCAGCACTGGCGACGAGGACGCTGAGCTTGACAGGCAACTTGACCAAGCACTCGAGCTTTTCCGATTCATTGAGGGCAAAGATGCGTTTGAAGCCTTTTACAAGAAAGATTTGGCTCGGAGATTGCTCATGAGTCGAAGCGCAAGCCAGGACGCTGAGCGAAACATGCTTACCAAACTCAGGGGCGAGTGCGGTGCCAACTTTACGCAGAACTTGGAGCAAATGTTCAAAGACCAAGAGTTAGGCAAAGATGAGATGGAGTCTTATAAGCAATGGTGCCAAGGCAGCGCTGATCGCAAGGCCCCTCTGGATCTTTCGGTCATGATACTTTCGGCTGCTGCTTGGCCAACATATCCCGACGTTCGTCTCAATTTGCCTGACGAGGTTGCTACTCAGATTGAGAGATTCGACAAGTACTACAAGAATAAGCATACGGGTCGTGTGTTGACATGGAAGCATTCCTTGGCTCATTGCTCTATCAAGGCCACTTTCGCCAAGGGTACCAAGGAACTTCTTGTGTCAGCTTACCAGGCTGTCGTTCTTATGATGTTCAACAGTGTACTGGACGACGGCTTCTTGGTCTACGAGCAGATTGCCACAGGAACCGGTCTTCAAGGTGGGGACCTCAATCGCACTCTTCAGTCGCTTGCCTGTGGTAAGGCGAGAGTGCTAACTAAGCACCCGAAGGGTCGGGACGTCAAGCCTACGGACAGTTTTACATTCAACAAGGCTTTCACGGATCCTAAATACCGAGTTAAGATCAACCAAATCCAGCTTAAGGAGACTAAAGAAGAAAACAAGGCAACACACGAGAGGATCGTGCAAGACCGACGATTTGAGACGCAGGCTGCTATCGTGCGGATAATGAAGAGTCGAAAAAGTATGGGACATTCGGAGCTGGTGGCAGAGGTTATCAACTTGACCAGAAAGAGGGGCAGCATTGATACCTCGGCGATCAAAAAGGAGATTGAAAGGTATGTGAAGCAGTGCATTGGCGTCTTTTCAGTACTAACTCGGGTTGCAGTCTAATTGAGAAGGATTATATCGAACGAGAGGGCAATGCATACGTGTACCTGGCATAAGAGAACAGCAGTTATGATTAATGGTAGCTCAATGAGAAGAAAAGAATCGGAAATGGACCTCTAAGATAAACATTGACGTGAATAATATTGTTTCATTTACCATGCGACGTTGGTTATTCTACTGCAGCAAAAGACAAGGCTGGAAGATTTGGAAATCGAACACTCGACAAAAAAGAAGCGAAGTTTAGGGAGGGGGCCATGGGGGACAAGGTTTGTAATGGTAAAATTAAGCTACTGAGCTACTTCGCTGAAGGACGTAGTGTTTTATCATGATGTATAACAAGGATACGAGCTTGAAGGAAGAGTGAGCAGTCAAGTGGTGAATATCTTGGTTGACATCCATGATGAATGGGGGATGAATGCCTAGAAGGCCGAGACGATGAGGTTGCTGCTTGGGTCGGTTAAAGTCTCTGCCGAGCTTCCTCTGTTATTTCCTATTATTATCAAGGTCTACAATGAATAGGACAGGGTGGTTAAATCACCAGCTCTTAACATGTTGATTCAAGCAGTGGATGTTTTCTGGAACTCAGCTTGTCTAGGGTAGCTCCGACCGCACCGCACCCAGAACACCATCGAAACGAGTTTTAGGCCTGCCTTGATATCCATGAATGCTTTCACATTGACAAAAAAGCGAAAAGGAGGGCAAGTACGCCCAGAAACGAACCCCTCACGAGGCATCCGCGAGGCAGAAGGCTCGGTCGCCCGATCATAGTTAGACTTGATAGTTGAGGGTGTGGACTTCTCTGCAATGTAAGTGACTAAGTATAGAGGTAGTTAGATGCCTTGAATTAACCGACCCATCCTGTACAGTACAGGACAATGCAGTACGACTTCCATGGTGTAACTACTTCAAGTCTTTGACAACGGCTAGTTGCCTGATCACCATCGTCTTTCCGAACCGCCCATCGGACTCTAGACTATACTCGAAGATGCCTGACAGGTCACACGGCCACGAGGTTGGTTAGACATTGTACAGTAGAGACCAGTATAGTATGGAAAGTGTGTTGTGCGCCAGATAAGAACCTGATATTTCCAGACTACGGTATATCTTCTACCCATCTCGATATCCAGTCAGATGAAACAAAGTGAAACTTGGTGGCACTTGACCTCTTCGCTTTCGCCTCGTTTTGATCTGGCATTATTGTGTTTCGTCTCGACGTATGAGAGACCTTGTAAGCCATACACCACCATGAGCCTACGCCGCAGAACCACGTACAGAATAGGTCATTCTACTTGACTGTCTGTATACTGTATGCATCACATACATGCTTGCACTTGCACTTGCACTTTCATTCTTCCTTAGTGTACCCGGGCAATAGTACAGCTGACTACTCTATCATCGTGCATGAAAACGCAAGCCAACGAGGGGGCGTTGCTTGTAGCAATGAGATAGCTCTCATCTTCAGGCATTCTGTCTGTGGTGAGCAATTGACTCGCAGCAAATGCAGTTTCATGCGGCATGATGCCTGCTGTCAGAACACGATACATACAAATAATAGATGCAACAAAACTCTTATAGATGTGACGAACCATGCACATCATTCGGCTTACGACAATTGACTGCGTACCTACCCGACTCTCCCGTAAATCTGCAACTGCTAGGCTAGTCTCAGTTACAAACATCTGCACACAAAGATTCCTCGATATGTCCAACCCTGACCCTGTCCTTCAGTTAGCCTTTGTCCGCCCATCGCCCTGGTACTGTGCTTGTAAAACCGCAGCCATACACTGATTCCACGCTGCATTCCTCGATTGTGGCGACACGTTGTGCTTCGTTGTCTGTCCTCAGCAGTAGTACAGAGCAGCTTCGGACGTCTCCCGTCAACAAACGTCAACGCCCAACGTGTTCGTGGACATCTCGAGTCAGAGCCTTGGTGTACCCGAGGCAATTGTCTGATTTAACGATTCTCCCGAAGCAGTCTATGCAGGGTCCTCTCAAGCCTTGATGAGTCGTTACGCCGCGTAAAGATCTCCAGATCATCGTCCGTTGCTTGCGATGGACTCCCTCACCGAGCGCCGAGTAACACTCCCTGGGGATTCTGAGACTTGTAATAGGAGCTAAAGTATCGTTATTGACCAGGCATCGGGAGATAAACGCATGTCGAAAACGGCGATCGCCTTGTTTGCATTTCTCTGCGTGCGCTGGCAGAATAGGCTGTCGGTGTTAGGTCACAGATCGACTTGAATCAGCCTCTCGGCAACGTGCCTCATCGCTCGGTAGCCATATCAAGCCAAGATGCGGTAGCACAGGTTTGGTTCTATCAATAAGGCTTGGTTTGAGTCGTGGGTTTTGCCGATATGTTAATGCAAGTCAGTCTGGCCGCATTAGCCAGGCGATAACCAACATTAGACCGTGTCTAAACAAAGAAAAGACAAGCACCTCGAACGGACCAATCTTTCTCGGCTGAAGATTCTGGCATAGTCAAGATACCATTATGAATGTAGCTGAACCGTAGTAAGTGGCCATTCGCAGTGGAGGTATGCGGGCGAACCACTTCAATCCACCAAATCGAGGCCACGATATGGTTCGCGACTCGGACTGACCACAGAGAATATTTTACTTTTGTCGTACAGGACTGGTTCCTGTCCTTGATTCCATTCGTCATCGCCGTGTCTTGTCGGAATACCCAACTCGACATAATGATATCTCTGCGAGTTCAAATAGGCCTCGAGTCTCCCTCTGGATCTCATCAACAGACAGACACCACACATCACTTAACTCTTCAAAATAACTCTTCCAGTCCATACTCAAACAAGTGCAATAGGCTTGCTTAAACAGATAGTTTGGCACACTTGCTTCATCACGGCTGCACCCCTCCCTGACCTTCAAGCTTGCATTCGCCCTCCATCTTTTTATCGAACGCACCCTCTGGCATCTCGACAGCCTCACTTTCATATCCCACACACAGGTGGTAGGATACGGGGGCTTTAACTGTCGTGAAGCCTCGCCCGTTCAAACTCTCCATTGCCAGTCGTATATATCATAGCGCCTTCTTCCTCTTTCTCTGTTGTTTCAACCCTACCTCGGAATTTGTAACCCATCAACCAAACCCCAATCACAATATGGCTGGTCCTCTTCCTGTCGGGGCTATGCCTCCTGGCGTTCCATCACAACTCAACCAACAGCCTCATGCTCCACAGGCTGTCCCTTCCATACCCCAGAATAACGGGATCTTTGCGGCTACTCCTGCATATAGTCCCGGTAATGCACAGCCCTATCGCCATCCCCCTTTCCCTCCCTTGGACCTACGTCGGCAAGCTCCCGTCGAGATTCAAGATGCACGAGGCATAAGCCCTCCGCAGTACCGGGCTCTCCGTTTGGAAAAGGCATCCAGTGGCTCCTCCTGGACAAATATCACCGTCTCTGAAAAGCCCATGCCACAATCTATGATCCGAGATAGAATTGCATGGCTCCAGAAGAACACAAATTCTGTCACAAAGAAGAAGCAGGAAAAGAACGAATCCATTCAACGTCAACTTGACAAGACTCAAGCTGATTTGACCAAATGTGGCCGCGACGTTCGTGTTTACTACAAGTTAGTACAGCTTGAATCAGAATGGTGGGCGGCAGATGATCGCCGGCAAGGAGAAGATAGAAGTGAACGGAGTTCCAAGAAGCACAAGAGCCATTCGAAGAGAAACAAGTCTCCTAAGTGGGAAACAGCAGCGATCATTGCATACTTCGTGAGTATGCCTGCCAATGATCGGCCTGGTTCCAGACTTCATGGTACAAATGTGCCCCTGAGACAGTCGAAGCAGACTCAGCAGCCACAAGCTGTGCAGACAAGTACAGGTGGCCTGCCTCCTATTACTCTTCCTCCGGGCTTCTTCCGACCAGCTCCACCAAACCCTCTTGGAAAGACATCTCCGGTAGCTGATCCAAGACTAAGCAGTCAGCCCAACCCTGTTCCTGTCGTGACACAACAGGCTACCGCCCATCCTACACCCCAAGCTCAGGCACCTTACCGTGGCGCGCCTAACCAACAACAGCCCGATGGCACGGTATCAACGAAACAAAAAGGGGCGATGCCTCACCCCAGCATTCCGGGACCAACACAAGGCCAAATCCCTGGTAGACAACCGCCAAGGCTGCCATCGATCCAGCTTCCAATTCGTCCACCTCACTTTCAAGGCCCTTTGCCAGTGCCGAATGCTCCATCACCATTGGCGCAGGCGGACTCGGGAGGAGCCTTTAAGGCAAGTGGGCAGTCGACCGCACCAAGGACTATAGCCGCAGGGCCAAACTCGAGTGTTAGAAATAACATCAAGGTTTATCACGCCTCGGACCAAAGCTCCTCGTCATCGGATGACCTTTGGTCGGAAGACGAAAGCGAGGGAACAACGCCATCCTCTATCAGTTCAGATCACAGCCTGCAGCGGCGCGGTCGAGGCCGCAGTCCAAAACGTGCACATGCAGACCACCATAGAAACGTGGTCATCCAGGATTCTCGTCACATCAGAAAGAATGCGAAATATATTCGGGATGAACGTACTAGGCCGTTACAACGACAACATGTACGTTTTGACTCGCCCGACTACCGCTATCAAGAGGAAACCCGGTCTCCAAGAGACGAGTACCATTCTCAGCGACGAGCTGAAGAGTCCTGGAGATTAGAACCCCCACGCATTATTCAGGTATCAAGAACAAGCGTCCGTCATGTGCGTGGGTCTGCACCTCGACGTGATAGATTTGATGACAAGTATGACCATGAGGAGAAGCCGCTAGAGCGGGCAAGATTGAATGACTCTCGACATAAGCATGACGTCCGACGAGAAAATGATCGGTTCAAGTATCTCGAGGAAGACGTTCGCCTGCGCCGCGACTTGAGGGAGAGACGAAGTGGCCGAAGAGAAGACAGCGTTATGTATCCGTATGCTGAATCAGATTCTCGATGGAGCGACCAGCAGGCTCGAGATTATATGCGTCAAAGAGAGTCACGTCGTCCATATCGGTATCATGAAAGCCGTAAAATTCGGAGAGAATACGATGAATGATGGAATTTGAGTATAAGGGAATTTATTCAATTTTGGTTCGAATCGTTTCTTTGTCGTCGTCTGGATTTCTTATTATCTACCTACCTTTATCCGGATTGGATTCTTGGTCTCATTTGAGAGTAATACTATAGGAAAAATCATTTATCATTTATCATTTACACTTATCAATTGATTGCACGTGACCAAGCGACGTCGGTAGTGGGAGGGGTCGCGCTCTAAACGCGTCAGGGCGGGCGCACTTTGAGTGAAACTTCATGCGTGGGCGGTACCTGTACGTAGAGAGTACAGACAGTACAGTACCGAACCGTACCTGACCTGACTCGCCCTCCCCTGGCCCTGGACGCGTTCTGCATCAGTTCAGTGAACAGTAGGGCCGTGGGGTAACGTAGTCGCTAATGGGAGCCTCAAAGTCAATGTTTACAACTTTCTACCTTTTTTAATTCTCCTAACCACCCCTCTCCTTCCTATCACCAATAGACTTCTATTTCTTCTTTTCTCACCATCGCCACCCAGCGACGGTTTATGAGGGCTGGTATCAACAGCCTCGCCTTCCGTTCCTCGCCGACACGGGCAATTCTTCTTCGACAAATCGTACAACAGCAGCTACTACTGCCACTGCGGTTGCAGCAGAGGGCTCAGGTACACTCAGCACGTCCAACTTTTTCACCACATCTCGAGATAATGTTGCAACGGGCAAGCAGCAAGTACGAGGCCAACGCTCCTCCTCAAAAGAACCAGGCCAGAGGCGGGCCTTTCGTTCCTTCCAGTAGCCCAACACTCAATGCCGATATCAGACAACAGCTAAAGAAGCCAAACGCCCCTTCTGTGTCGGCGAGGACGATGCCACCCTTTTCTAAACCTCTTGAGAAACGATCTTCCAACATGAATCAAACCCCAAACAACAACAACAGACCCTCGGCTGGTCTCGGTAGAGGGTCACTGGCAAGTCTATGCGGAGGGTCAAATTCATTTAGCGAACAAGCAGGTGTTGTTGATCTTACCGGTCCTGAATCACAAACCAAAGCTCAAGCGGCTGTTTTCTTTAACGAAAGTGACTTCAGCGACGACGACGATTTGGATCTGGATTTTAAGGCTCCTTCAGCCCTACCAACGTTGCCACCGGCTGCTAATACTCCTACCAAACGCATTGCGAACGAGAGCATGGCACCTCCACCACCGACTTCAACGCAGACAGATAAGACCATTCCTTGGTCCTCGTCGCCTCCTTCTCACTTCCTGCCTCCTGCAAGGAACGCGTCCGTCACATCGACTATGGCCAACATATCAATGAAGCGTGACTCTTCTGGCGACCAAGATGATGTTCCAGCTCCCAAGAAGGCCAAAAAGCGTGTACTGCCCCAGAGCTTCAAGCAGGAAGAGGCTGACGACGAGTACGGTCACCAGGCTCCAGTCACCCAGACACCAAACAACAAGAAGAAAGACTTTCTAAACCCCACGGCCAGCGCTGTCAAGGAACAGAAGAAGCAATTCAGAAATCAACGTCAACAGGAGCAACCTGCAGCCAACACAGACTTGTCTATGGGCGAGATCCAAGAAGTTACAACATCACATTCCAAAGGCAACTTTGCTATATCCTTGAGTGAAGAGCAAAGGCACGTCTTGGACTTAGTAGTGAACAAAAATCAGAGCGTTTTCTTCACTGGTGCAGCCGGAACTGGTAAATCCGTCTTGATGCGAGCCATCATCACTGAATTGAAGAAGAAGTATGCGAAAGATCCTGAACGTGTCGCGGTCACAGCCTCCACAGGACTTGCGGCATGCAACATCGGAGGCATCACATTACACAGCTTCTCGGGTATTGGTCTTGGCAAAGAGGATGCTGCAGCGTTGGTCAAGAAAGTTCGACGAAATCCTAAAGCCAAAAACCGTTGGCTAAGAACTAAATGCCTTGTGATTGATGAGATCTCCATGGTGGACGGGGACCTATTCGACAAGCTGTCACAAATCGGAAGAACAATTCGGAATAACGGAAGGCCATGGGGCGGCATCCAACTTATCATCACTGGTGACTTCTTTCAGCTTCCACCTGTACCAGATCACGGAACCAAAAGGGAAACCAAGTTTGCGTTTGATGCTTCCACTTGGACCACCTCAATAGATCACACTATCGGTCTCACGCAGGTCTTCCGTCAAAGAGATCCCGTGTTTGCCAACATGCTCAATGAGATGCGTCTGGGTCGAATTACCGAGGACACTGTTCGAGCCTTCAAAAGGCTTGAACGGCCACTCGAGTTTACAGATGGACTTGGGGCCGCTGAGTTGTTCTCGACTCGAAACGAGGTCGAAGGGTCTAACGAAAAGCGATTGCGAGAACTCCCTGGAACAGTTCGACGCTATGAGGCCCAAGATACTGGCAAAGATGATATTCGAGACAAACTGCTGGCGAACATGATGGCTCCTAAATCCATCGATCTAAAATTGAACGCCCAAGTCATGTTGATCAAGAACCTTGATGAATCGCTGGTCAATGGATCCCTGGGTAAAGTCATTGGCTTTTCAGATGAGAAAACTTTTGACATGTCCCCGACGGATGAGTACGACGAGGATGACCCGACAGCCAAAGCCCGAAGGAAGTTACTCAAATCATTCAAACATGAAGCAGAGTCAAGCTCGAGCGGAGTCAAGTACCCAGTGGTGCAGTTTGGGGCAACGGATGGTACATCACGTGTCATCCTCTGCCAGCCTGAAGAATGGAAAGTCGAGTTGCCCAACGGCGAAGTTCAAGCCAAACGAACTCAACTCCCCCTGATTCTCGCCTGGGCATTATCCATTCACAAAGCCCAAGGCCAAACCCTGGAGCGAGTGAAGGTCAATCTGGGACGGGTATTCGAGAAAGGCCAGGCTTACGTTGCTCTCAGTCGAGCTACTACTCAGGATGGTTTGCAAGTTCTAGGCTTCCAGAAGTCCAAGGTCATGGCCCATCCACGGGTTATCGACTTTTACAATAAACTTTACAGCGCAGAGGAGGCGCTCGGAAAACCGAAAGCACAGTCCATTACCAACTTTGTTTCCAATCGCATTGGGTCCGCGCCTGCAAGGGCTCCAGCCCCCAAGAAAACAGCACCTCAGGTGGTAGATTTGGACGATGAGGAGGAGGCGATGGCTGCGTACGGCCACTAAGCTAGTCGTCTTGGAGTTCCTTTTTGCACGATGAATGTTCACCGCTCACGAATACCCTTGCATGATATGGATGGAGACAGTTAAGGACACAATATGTGATAGAGACAAGTATAAACATGAGACAGGCATAGGGATGCCCAATGGAGCGATTTGGTTGGGATGAATAAGGCAAAGAGGCCAGTAGATGCCAGGTAGTCACTCTCTGTACTTAGACACTACGACCAACTTATGATAATACCAGATGAAGAACAGTTAGTAAAGTCCGAAACTTAGAGCGTAACTTTGATTTTCCTGCACCGTTATTTGTTGCTGCGGAAAAGACGGGTTTCATGTCTTTCGAAATTTCGTACCAAAATCAAGTCAGACACTTTCATGCATGAATACTTGCCTGGTTGCCTTTCCTCTTCTTACTCATCCGTATGCCATCAACCAATCCGAGACATCAATCGCAACTGCAAAATCAGCCAGCCCTCCATTCCATTGCATTAAGATTTTAGCACTACCTAGAGGTACTTCGGTACCTGCAATAGTGACGCAGACCGAACTCAATGACCGGGCCATCATCATCTTATCGATAAGAAAGTTGGCAACTTTATTCCCAACCTTGCCCCATGTTGAACAGGAAGTTCTCCCACCAAGAATAACCCCCCCAGCACACAAGACCGCAACCCCGAAATCAGACCGAAAACCTCACGACAACCCCCCAGCGCATACGGCTCAGACATTGCAGAGTCTGAGCTTCACCCGCATTTTCCAAGCAGTACACGACCTCCTTGCAGGGACGCCCTAGTATCGACCTCCCCTCGTTTTGCCCTGTCCCGCCGCCTCGAACATCCCGAACCGTCATCAGTTGTCGGATAGTTTAGAACCTCAACTGCACGCTCACCTTAATCCACCGCGATACACAAGCGTCAGCTTCAGATCGGCCCTGAAGCCGCTATATACCCACAGACGCGACGCTCTGCACCAGAAGATCCCGTCTTAAATTCTAGAGGACTTTCATGACCCCCAGGGAGTGACAATTCTTTTCATACATACTTTCGCGTCAACGACCAAATCTCTTCGACAAGCTTCAAAACCTGCACACCAATTTTCAACATGGCAAACCAATTTATAGGCTTGCATATGCGGGTGGTGCTGAGAGACCCTCCTGGGAACGAGTTCACCGGGACAGTTGTGGATGTTCAAGCAGGCAGCGGCCTGACCTTGACTAATGGTATGGATGTCTAAATTACGCCGCAGAGATACACCAACTAATTTTCCGACGCAGTCTTTATGGCAAATACCAAACAGTGGTTCCCAACTATACAAATCGCTGCAGCTAACATTGCTGATCTGTCCGAAGTCAAGGATCAATCTCCTGCGTCGTATGCGCCCGCCCCTGTCGAACCTGTCGCTGCACCTACCTTTTCACAACCGCCTGCGCAGCCTGCATTCGTCGACCCTGCCATCCTCAGCCTGGGAAGACCGCCCGTGTCAGCGACGCCCTCGGGATCCGACACAAAGGCTCTTATGCCCGAGGGGGGAAGAATAGAATTGCATAATGTTTCCGTAAACATCAAGGCATCTGCACCGGGACAGCCTACCTCGGACCATGATCTGTCAGGCTCTATCAAAAATCTGGCCCTCGGTGAAACTGTGCCCGAATCTGGCAATGGCAAGGCAGTTGAGGGTGGTGTGGCCAGATCTGCCAAGAAGAAAAACATCAACCGACGCTCCCGTCAAGCTAAGCAAGGAAAAGGTCAACGTGCCGAAGAGGATGGTCTCGCTGTGGAAGGTTCACCCGCCAGTGGACGAGGAAAGGGGTGGAGGCAAACACCTATCTTACAGAGCACGTCGTCTTTCCAGCCGTTTCACTTCTTGAAAAAGAGCACTAAAGGTCGTAAGGGTACCCTTGATAATGGTTGGGCGTCTGAGGATGTCACAGAAGAAATGGGCGATTTTGATTTCGAAAATAACTTGGCGAAATTCGACAAAGCAACTATTTTTGACCAAATGAGAAAAGAGGACCAAGTCGACGATGCCAGCCGGTTAGTATCCCACAACCGCAAGCCTAAACCTGGTACAGCTGGTGGCAAGAATTTGCATTACACAGAAAACGTGCTGGATTTACCGTCAACCGCCAGGAAAGACGCATATTCGTGGAACAGCGAGGCGGACGATGGGCTGAATGAAGCAGAGAGGCTCTCGGGACGAGACGTCCGGAGCAGCCAAAGCAATCGAAGGGCCGATAGCAAATCTGGACCATCGCGGAGGTCACAGTCACGTAAAGCAAGTGCTGTTGCGATATCAGGCGGCCTTCCGCTGAGCCGCGTCAATTCCGGCGTACGTGCAAGCCACCTGTCTCGCTTGTCTATTTCTCGACCAGAATCTCGCAGTACTAACAGCAGGCAGCAAGGTCATCCACCCGGCTTATACCTGGTCCCTTCGCATAAACGTCTGGAAACCGTCTCTGCCCTGCAGATGTTGAACCTTGAAAACATTGCTGCAAATGAGGTGGGACTGACAGAACAGCTCATGGCCGAAAATGGAGGAAGGGGTATCGCCGAGGTGACTCTGAAGGCCCTGACGGACCCTGCCATCAAGGTGCGGTTCGGACTTGCTGGCGCTAATCCATCGTCCAGCGCAACGTTGAGCAGCCCAGCGGTGGTCATTCTAGCTGGAAACAACAAGTCCGGCATTCGCGCCACTGCGGCTGCACGTCATCTTCGAAATAAGAACGTCAACGTACTTGTGTGCCTGGTGGGCATTGAGCGAGAGAAGGATCTGCTTGAGGACCTACGACAGCAGATTCAACTTTATCGAGCTTTTGGTGGCAAAATTCTCAGCAAAACCGATCTTTTCGAACATTTGCGCAAGGCATCATCGGCAGGATCACCTGTGTCAGTGTCTCTTATTGTGGATGCTCTCCTGGGCTTGACCATTTCGTTTGAGGAATTGCGAACGGGCGACCAGGCTGCTGTTTACGAGTTGATGGAATGGGCGAACCGCAACGAAGCCTTTGTGCTCTCAGTCGATGTTCCAACTGGAATCGACCCAACTTCTGGAAAGGTCGCAGTCATCGATGGCGGTCGACTTTTTGTGAAGCCACGATATGTTGTTGCCATGGGAGCTCCTAAACGAGGTTTGCTTGAGGCCGTGACACCCCCAGATGAGGACGATCCACAGAACATGAATAACGCCGGGCACGAGGAAGAATGGCGTCTCTTCATCGCGGATATCGGCCTGGGCAGTGCCGTATGGAGGAAAGCTGGAACTAAGATTCGACGAGGCATCGACTTTGATGAGAAGTGGGTACTTGAGATGAAGTATTCAGACGGACAGCATGATGAAAGCGACTACGACGATGAGTAGTTTGGAGCAAAAGCTAACGGAATGCTGATTTTTATAAGGAAGGGACAGGAAAAGTTCAACGGTTGATTTATGGCATGGATAACAGAAAATGGGCTGATGATGCATTTCTCGATGACATAAGGCGTTTGGCGGAATTAGTTGTTCTGGCGTGAAAGGAAGGATGCATATATTATAGTTGCATTGAGGTCTATAGACACCGAATACCCAGGAGTTGATTCGAAAATAAATAATTCGAAATTGTCGATAGACTACTATATGATTTAGCAATAGAAGATACGGTATAGCAGTGGCAGTGGCAGTGGCGGAGGAAGTAGAAAAATAATGGATAATAATAAATAACTAATAGAAAAGAAAGAAGAGCCAAGTTCGCCAAGCCTGGAGAGAAAGAGGCCGGGTCTCGGGGAATACTAACATCCATACGGATACCTAATCAATTAATAGAAGCTTAAGCTTTGCCAAGTCGTCTGTGATTTCCGTGTGCATGTGCAGCCTTGGCACTTTATAAAGCTTGATTTGATCTGTGCCAATATGCTATATGACGTGAGAAACTGGCTATGGGTGTCTAGCGAGCAGGTTTATGTATTTATTAGATAGGAGCCAAAAACTACCAGTTCCGTATATGGTTTGCTCCGCGAGATTGAACGTACGACTTTCTTTTCTATAGGCAACTACCTAGTATCTGGATGAGAGTGAGAGTACGGATAAGAGAATGGATAAAATAAACATTTAATTTGAGATTGCTTACTTGAAACTCGGGATGTTGTCATTTGTTCAAGGAACTGTTTTTAAAGTGCCTGAGAAATGAATGATGCTGTCATGGGCGTCAAGGGAAATTGACTTTTGAGTTAAACGGCTCTGTCTAGCCACGAGGAGGGGGTTCTATCGAAACCAGCCGGTCGGTAACCAGCCAGCCAGCACCATTATATTATTATGTCTTGTTGCACCGCAAACGATTTGTGATCTCTGCTGGTGGACAACTGTTGCTTCAGAGGGATCACGCTATCCAGAGCTAATCTTGGAATATGTGGGAAGGCTGGATGATCTTTTCCTTCCATCCACTCTCTTGCATGGTAAGTTAACCCCAGGATTGCACTGCACAGTGCAAGAGGCTGTCAAATTGTGGACACTGGAAAGAATAAAATCCGATCTCCCAGGCCGTCGTATGATAAGTGATGAGTTGATACTATCCATGAGGACGTTTACTTGCGAGTATAAACTGGCACAAGGTGACCGGATGCTGTAGATCATTTCGTCTATCATGCTCGACACCGATAACCATCAGCCCTATCCCTAATTTCTTGGTGACAAGAGGCGGGGGGAGAATTGGGGCTGAATGGACGAAAGAGGATATATTGAGCGCTCATCAGGGCCTTTGATGATTTTGGGGGTTGGAGAGGGAGAGGGGCTAGGGGGTGCACTTGTTTTGGCTTCAGTTGCATTCCAGCCCTGTCGCTAGGTTCCTTGTTGATTCGACCCTTCAATTTTTAGCGGCACCGATATCTACTGTACGATCCATTGGATTGATTGATCGGTACTGCCGTTGAACGGTCTGGAAGTTCATAGGCTTGATGGGTATCTTTTGGCTGTGGGCGCGCAGCCAAAACCGACGGACCGAGAACGAGAACGAGAACGGTTTTGCGAACCAAATCAACATCTATAGCGATAAGATAGATGCTGCTATTTTTCTCAGAGCAGTGCGGACATATACTGTCCACTGCCATGGATATGGGCTAAATCCACATACGGTGATTATACAGTGCGTCGCTAAATACATTAGAGGGAAGATGGATGCTTACCTGTACATGATATTCATCCACCCATTGGATCACAAGGTGTTTCCCCAGAATTATTGTCTTACTGTTCCACAGCAATCGATTATTACAGCATAATCTCCCTGAGCCATGCATCCATGCTTAAGAAGAATGAACGGACCAAGAGCTTAATTGATTATTCTACCTCCATACCTACATTACGACATCCGTAATTCCGAATCGAATTCTTCTGTGTACAGGTCCAGACCTTGGAATCAGCCTTGTTTTGTTTATTGCCTTAGTATTATTTTTCTTTCCGTTCCCCATTAATTAGCGGGTTTAGTACAGTCTGGCGGGTGTTGGCATCTATCGAAAAGGCTTCTCTTTTCCAGATCGCCACTCCATATTGCCCGATCCCCAAGAACGGCCCTCCTGCACGTCTTCCACGCGAAAATCGACCGACGGTAACAAGCCAAGACTTTGCCGACTCTCATCGTCACTTTTACTCTTGGTATCTATCTTGAGCAAAACATTTAACCTACTCATCCTCATACTCATAGTGGCTACTAATTGCTGTGCAATCCGCCGCGTCAATCAATTGCTCTTTCTACTTGGATTCCCCAGTCCAAGAGAAACAACCCCCCGTCTTGCCTCGACTCCGCCTCCTTCCGTTCATAGTCAAGGGCCCGTAATCACGCACCCCCTAGTCCATCCAGTCTACCTACAGACTCCTGTACTATTACTGTACTGTACTGTACTGCACAGTACTAGAATCCTCACGTTACAGTTTCCCCCCCACGACCTTCTCGAAACCGCGCCTGAACACACTCGTTTTCTTCACCAGCAATCGTCAAAAATCCCATACCCAACCGCATCCGAATCGAAGGCAATTCAGAATCTGTCCCCGATCGATTCCACCGCGTTGCTCAGTCATCGAAACGTGCCTCCTATGGCTGCCGCTTGAGCGAATCCCCTCCAACTAGAGTCCTCCTCCAACTCGCGAATCTTGTCAACTCGCGGCTGGTCGTTCGGTTTGTGTTGCCTCACTGAATAATCGGCCAGCCGCAATCATGGCCACCGCCGCCTTGGTCAGCGCGACTATCACGGCGCCTCCATCACTATGCACGACAACGCTCTTACCCGTCAATGGAGTCAAGACTTTGGGGCTCGACGGTGTCCCCTCGATACTGACGGAACCCGCGATTTACCAAATACCTTGCCCGACGCACGACATATTCCCCCGAGCCGAAGTCCATGTTACATATGCTGCCTCCGGCGATGACAGCAGCCTCACTCAACACGATGCATCAGACAGCAGCCCGAAATTCTCCGATTTCCGCGATCCCTTCTACGCCTCCACCTTTCCGATCTGTTACGCCCTCGCTGCGACCACCGTTACCGCCTATATGCTCGTCATTATGCTCTTCGTCACCCCTAGATCTTTTCTCGACGGAGGAATTGTTTACTTGGGCAGAAAATCCGCTTTCACCCATAGCTCAAACAACAGTGTCACCATTGGTGGTCGACCATGGCTACAAAAAGTCGCCGCTTTAACCGTCGCCATCTCACTAACTATCGCGTCAGCCGACACCTTCAGAGTAGCTAAAAGCCAGTACCTGTGGGGGATCCAGAATGCGAATCAACTACAGGATGAGGTGATGAACAGCGTGGAACTCAAGGTTATCCGACTCGTCTCTGATACGTTCTTATGGCTGGCCCAGGCCCAGACTCTCATCCGACTCTTTCCCCGGCACAGAGAAAAGATAATCATCAAATGGGTTGCGTTCGCACTCATCACTCTTGATGTTGTCTTCAGTGCCGTGACCAGTTTCAAATACTCGGAAAACGGCATCAATACTACCGCACGACCTAAGAACTTCGTTCACCCTGTTCCCGCTCTCAGTTACCTGTTCCAGCTTTCTCTGGGCTTGCTATATGCTGCCTGGGTCGTCTACTTTGCGTTAATGAAGAAGCGTTACTCTTTCTATCACCCTTTTATGAAGAACATTAGTTTTGTCGCCATCATTTCCCTCATTTCGATTCTCATACCTGTTGTCTTCTTCATTCTGGATATTTCCCAGCCCGATTTTACTGGATGGGGCGATTACGTGCGATGGGTTGGTGCTGCAGCTGCCAGTGTTGTTGTGTGGGAATGGGTGGAAAGAATTGAGGCTCTTGAACGCGAGGAGAAGAAGGATGGTATTCTTGGCCGAGAGGTTTTCGACGGCGACGATACGCTCGAAATCAACGCATCCGAGTTCCCCTGGCTTCGCAATCGTAAGAGCAGAAAGGGCGGCAGTTCGGGGGGCGGTAGTGAGGGTGATCGGTCGCAGATGTCTACGACTGCAGCTAATGGTTGGCCGACTGTTTCTTCTCTTGCCAACAGATACCGCGGCCAAGGAAATGGTGCGTTTGCCGAACCATTTGAGCAGCCTTCACAAAGGGGCACAGGAAGAGGCTTGCGACCTACAATTTGGCCAGCTCGGCCGGCACCTGCTGCTACACCTATTAGCCGTACAGACACGGCCAGCGCGGCGAGTACAGTTTATGCTGTACGTTACCAGGCCCCTTCAGAGACGACTTCACGAACTCCCGATCCTCTGCCACAACCGAGTGTGGTCGATCTGAGTCGATTAAGCAGCACACCTCCAAGCCAACAATTGAACGATGAATCCAGCTCTTCCAATCACGCCCCGGCTTCCGTGCAGCACGGTGTTGTTGTGCCGCCGGCTTCACGACAATCTGTAGATTTGGAAGCTAACTCACCAAATTCGCCAAGTCGAGGCGGTTGGCGTAATCTTACTTTCTCCAACTCGACACTTAACCATACAACCGAGGATACGCCTATGGAGACAGTCCAACGTTCAGACGGCAACTCGGTAGTCACGCGTGAAGGACGCGCAAATAATTCTAATCGATGGGATCTAAGGGGTCGATTGGAGGACTTCGCGGCAAACCAAGCCGAGAAACTACGAGATCGCATGCGATCAGCACCGAATACCGAGAGTCTTCCAGTAACGGTGATTCCAGCCCCTCCCCGCAGAGGAGCAGCGCTGCAGCAGGTCCTGGAGGAAGAAGAACTCAACACTACGGAACGGCAATCACCGCAGCTACAAAGTAGGCAGCCTTTTGCGAACCACAACAACAGCACGACCAGCCAGGGCAGCACGTCGAGAGCTGCGTCAGGGGAAGTGGCACAATTGAACAGGAGTCGAAGCACGTTCTCGGGTAGCCCAGGCGATGGACCTATTCCGCCCAATAACCCACCACTATGGCGAGGTGTCCGGCCGAGAACGAACTATGAGGACGATTTCTATGATGACTCAGACGATGGCTCGCTGTCAGATAGGTCATCGTTGGATCACCCAAGACAAGACTCGGATTCGCCGGGACTTCGTCGAGCGACTTGAACTCTTTCGTGCTAGTACTTGTGCATCTAGTGATCCGTTATTTTGAAAGACTGGCGTTTAAATAATCATTGGGACGGCCTGTATGAATGATACCCCTGGGATGATTGCATCAACATCCCCTGCATGTATATCTATGGCAGGAACTTGCAAACATGGCGGCTATATCCGGAGCCATGTATATATTCAATGAGATGGACCCCCGAGCAGGGAATATGGCGTTATAAGGACGGGATCTTATGAGCGAATATGTCCTATTTGTATTATACGGTCACTATTCATTGACCTCAGCCTATATAGGAATTGATACTGCGGTATGATATCTGGACATTCTTGATATGGATCAATATTTAACTGCAAATGATTCCAGGGTTACCTGGTACCTGCTGACAGTTGAAGTTTACTAACCTCGTAGGTTACCTAGTAGACTACATGCATGTCTTTGCGGCATGACGTACTTGGCGCATGTCAGCTGCAAATTATAGCCCACATTGAAGCGAAAAAAACAACTAGTTCTCGACATCCTCGGGAGACGAAGACCAGATGCGCGCATGAATCAGGGCGAGACAAATGCGATGGGATGATGGCAAATGATAGGGGAAGGACCGGCACGTTCAAATGGATGTATGCCACTCCAGAAAGGGGGGATTGATCAAAACTGACAATGAGTGATGATCCAGTTAGCCCACACAACGACATCTGTATACTACCTAGGCAAGGTTAAGATGGGTTCCTATCTCAGAGAGGTAGTGACTAAACAGAGGTTGTCTATGGCTATAGCCGAAAAATCTCAAGACAACCAACGTCAAGGAAGAAAACAATAGGCTATGGAAGAGTGATATACCCCTGAAGCTGAAATTGAACCCCGGCAGCCATGGATATCAACTAAAAACCCTTGGATAATCTTAATCTTGGAGCCCGCGGAGGCCTTTTATGCCCCACAATGTGGGAATCCTTTTGTCTTCTAGAGGGTCTGTGGAAGAATTAGAATGGGCAGGTACCTACAGATAATTATTGTAGTCTTAGGTAACTTTGAGAGACGTTGTAGGGAAACAGAAACTGTAAACTTTAAAGGTTTAAGTTTAAGAATTCCCTACTTTAGTAAATACATATATATATAGTTGACCTACCTAGCTTAGACAGGTATAATAATAAGAAAAGTAATTGACTCCTCAAAGACCTTGAAATCACTTACAGTACAATGCGCCAGCCCCAGCAGTCAGGAGCCAGGAGCCATGAGATGGAACCCAGATGGAAGGAAGGCACCCATTCAACCAATATTTCTCAATCTGGCCAATCATGGCATCCTTTCCCGTCTCGGCTTACCCACCTAAAAATCTCCCCTCCACTAACATCTCCCTCTAATAATAATGTATCCGTACCTAGGTAGGTAGGTACTGTCCAGTATAGCACGCGACGATCCCGCACAATCCGTACCTAACTTCTTGACTCTCTTCTCTTCATTACTCTCCTCTTGTCTTCTTCTCCTCTTGTCTCTTTAATTTACTGGCTGCCTCTTCTTGTGCGTTACAAAGACGTAAATAGGAGAGACTAGCCATACGAGTCAAACAGCAACCACATTCCTTTACTCCCTATACTGGACCCTTCTTTTCCTCCTCATTGCGACTGGAGGTATTCTTTGCGCTACACTACTCGCGAAATAGGGGTGCAACATCTTCCACCACAGAACAAAGCGAGACAAAATTCTAAACTCTGCCAGCTCGGAAAGTGGCATACGATAAACGAGAATGTCGGGCTCAGAACCTTTCCCGCTGTTGAACACAGCAAACGATCAGCTACACCAGCGTCATCAAGCTACCTCGTCGTCGTCGGTCAGCAACACCACAGCCACCCAGGACGCCATCAACAACGCCCGGAAGCGACGCAAGAGCAGCGCTTTGGGGGGCGAGATTCGAGGTGACACGGGTGCTCCGGCATTGGCTTCCAGTCGTGCCAGCCTCGAAGCCACCGACAACCACTCAAACGTTTATGTATGTCTCTGCTCTGTTCAACCTCCTCCGCCTACTCCACTCGAACTAACATATCCCTGATGCAGTCCGATGGCCGAAAGCGCCTCTCTAAAAGACGCCGTGCTCGTGGCCTCATCGCTCGTGCGAAACAGACCATGATCAAGCACACATTCGTCCTTCCTGCCGTCCTCCTCGCCTTCTTCCTCGTTGGATACGCCATCAATCCTACCGAATCCAATCCCATTCACCACTTCATATTCCTCTCCTACAAGCTACCACAAGGGGATCTCAATGAGCCCGCTCACTACGGAAAGGGCCGCTGGGATGTCGCCTTCGTCGCTTTCTATACAATTGTCTTGTCCTTTACTCGCGAGTTTATTATGCAGGAGCTTCTTTCGCCCTTGGCTCGTTACTATGGCCTCAGCCGCGGCAAGAAGGCTCGTTTCATGGAGCAGGTCTACACTGCTATCTACTTCGGTGTCCTTGGCCCCGTTGGTCTATGGGTCATGAGCCACACTCCCGTATGGTACTTTAACACCTACGGCATGTACGATGGCTTCCCCCACCTAACTCATCAGGGTCCTGTCAAATTCTACTATCTTTTCCAGGCAGCCTACTGGGCTCAGCAGGCTATTGTTCTTCTCCTTGGTATGGAGAAGCCTCGCAAGGATTTTAAGGAACTTGTTGGTCATCACATTGTTACCCTTGGACTCATTGGCCTGAGCTACCGCTTCCATTTCACTTACATCGGCCTGGCTGTCTATGTCACCCACGACATTAGTGACTTCTTCCTGGCAACTTCCAAAACGCTCAACTACATTGACTCTCCTCTCGTGGGCCCTTATTTCGGAGTCTTCATGATCGCTTGGATCTACCTGCGTCACTACCTCAACCTCAAGATCATCTGGTCTCTCTTTACCGAATTCGAGACTGTCGGTCCCTTTGAACTGAACTGGGATACCCAGCAGTACAAGTGCCGTATTGCCCAGGTCATTACTGCCACTCTCTTGTGTTCTCTTCAAGCCCTGAACCTCTTCTGGCTGTTCTGTATCGTCCGAATTGCCTGGCGATTTGTCAGCCAGAACGATCTCCAAGATGACCGATCCGAGGATGAGGACGATGGTGACATGGAGGAGGACGAGGGGGCCGCTACTGGCTCCAAGGCCAATAGCTTCACGAACGGACATGCCAACAGTAGGTCTTCGGCAGATGCGAAGAACTAAACGGCGACACCAGAAGTTGTTGTGAGCGAGGTGTTGGAAGATTGAACTTCAGGCTTCCTACTCGTGACAAAAAGCACTCGGAAAGTCGAGATCAGGTTGATGGGACGAATTAATGGATCAGCATAATATTTATGACCACAGCAAAGGGGAAGCCACGAAAACGGGGCGTATAATTGCTTGCATCTCTCCTTTTAGAGAGCATTGGGGTAGTGGGTTTGGTGCGGATAGGAAAGGAGTTCAACTCGGAGTGGTTGGACATCGCTGTCGCTTTTGTATCCAACATGCCGGCGTGCCGAGAGAATCCGTCTTACCCGGATTAATCAACTGTTCCATTGCAACAGATCACTGGGTCGGACGACATACAAATGTCGCTTTGTTGTGACGACGTGAGGAGCAAGGGTTCTTGCACAAGCTTGTCGACACTATTGATAAGGAGTGTCTCTCACTAATACGTGACACTCACTCTGGCCTCAAACGACCTGCATACAGCAGCACACCATCTCTCGGATCATGTATTTACACGCGCATATATTCTTGTACAATGACTTATCAATATCTATACGAACATACTTAATATTGCTACTACCTTGGCGCTCACTACCCTGTCTCACGCCCTAGGTGCTAGTCATACTCCCAACTACGACGTCGGTCCAGCCCGGTTTGTATCAACGAATGGTTGGCACCTTTTTGGACGTCAACAGTCTTTGAACGCGTCAACCAGACGCTTTCAATAACTCGGGACCCAATTATTAATTCGCCTCTCTCGTGTTGCTTCAGAGTCTGGATAGTCGAATTCATCGTGTGGAGACTATGTCCACCGTTTGCCCCAATGGACCTCTCAAAGACCACATTGACAACGCATTAGTTGTTCGAGGGACACGCGTAACTCAAGCCGCTGCAAGCGAGGTCAAGCATCTTTGTACAGTACGGTAAATGATGACTCGCTGCAGCAGGTCGACTTACAATGTGTCTAGTCATTATCTGATCAGACTATGGAGTATTCTGCTGTGTAGCAGTCTGAATGTTCATTTCCTAACCTGCCATTACCCGACCTGGTCAAAAAGCTCCTCCACATGCATGCTCGAATAATCCAATCTACTCACCTGTAGGATAACACTTGATTACCAGGGTCTGCAAGAATGTTACTAGCCTTGGTAAAACTAGAGAGGTGTTTCTCTATATCACTTCAAAGTATGATTCCATAGAATTGGCTTACTCCTATGCACCTGTGCTGTTACTGTATGGGCAAAGCGGCTACATGGAAGATTTGCGGAGTTAATCGCCGGGAGACAGTCTTACGCCACATATCTACACCGAATCAAAACAGCACTCAGCAACCTTGTTCTCGATCCTTGCCCGGCCATCCAGTTTCAATTGCGTCAAAGTATAATTAACTCACTGGATCTCAGGGGTTAAACTCAACGGGACTACGGTGAGCCGCTCCTGATGCTGGTTCCTGCCCCTCCGTGGATCCCGGCATCCGGGGTGGCGGGTCCGGAAATAATGGGGCCAGTCGGCTACCGACTGAGCCCCGAGCACAGCCTCAATACAGTCAATCCGGCGGGCAACACCCCGAACTGGTCAAGCTGGTTTAAAGAACGGCACAGGGCACACTTGACGTCCCGAGTAAAACATGTGCTCTATAGGGTCATACAATTCAACTACCATGTTACACGTCCTTCTATTCAACAATTATTGACTGACACGTGGGAGTAGTGGGACAAATCGTGTAGATCGGGAAACAAAAAGACATCATTGACTTGCTTACTCGCCTGCTATGTTATGTGATCCGCTGCGACGTTATGTCTTATGCTTCCACATACTTGCTTGACTCAGGTACAAGGTCTTGTAACACATACTGATTTTGCCCTCAAACGGACATACGACTCGACATGATGTCTTCTATGAGATAGTGCTCTTGCACTCTCTATTAAATGCTTCAGCCACCGATCGAGGGAGGAAAAAGCAGGATTCCTTTTGTTTTCCATTCGTTTCACTAGCAATAGCCATTTGTGTGCCACCCAAACTTTCAATAAGTAGATCGTTAACCTTTCCTCCCGCATGAGCGGTCTCTTAGTCTAAGAGACCTGGAAGTCTCCTGTATACAGACTGGCAGTGCCCTACCCCTACAGCCCGTCGTGGCGTCTGGTTGAGGTGTGCAGCTTGGTACGCCATGTCGAGAGCGCCGAACCGGTCGTCGCTATAAGAGGACGCCCACGTACCCCTAGTGTTCAACTAAAGCCATATTCCATGCCGCATTCCAAAAAAGTAAATCGTGATAACCGTAACGCCTGCCCATGTTCCCTGCCCTGGCAATTACTGTGCTATGTATAGCACATAACAACGGTAAAATGCATGACTCCATAAACCCCTTCATGTTGCCTTGTTTGTCGAGATTGAAAACATCAACTCGTAAGCCTCATATAGGCCATCTTCGAGATTATTAGTCGGATTCTCATAATCCGTTTCATTAAGCACTGGAAGCAAAACGCCTCAACACCGATTTGATGCAGTCTTTAATGCCGAACCCTTTGGTGAAACGTCCCAGACGATGGTCATGTCCGTTCGTAAACCGAGTAGAGAGATGATAGATAGCGTGGTAGTGTTGTAAACAGGAATTAAGTGGTTGGGTTCTTCGACCTTCCTGGTCGGACGTCTAGGTTTATAAGAAGTCCGCGGGTGTGTAATGAAACACTGTGCGTTGAGAACAGAGCCGCGGCTTATTTACGCTCACGTTCTCTCGAGTGATCGCCGCTGTGACTTGATTCTGTGTCGGAGGATGAAGATGAAGATGTGTGGGTGTCATCCCCATGGCCTTGAGAGCCGGTACCAGACAGGCTTCCAGGCGATCCAAGGCCGCTGTAGCTATCGATAGCGACATCAGAATTCCTTTTGAGGCCCATCTTCGCCTTGCGAACTGCTCTTGCGGCTTTCATTTGCGCTTCACGAGCCACATCCAAAGCACGCTCGGCCCGAATCTGCTTTTCCCACATGGAAGCATATCGTCCCTTAGCTGCCAAAAGCTCTTCGTGTGTGCCCTTCTCAACAATCGTTCCGGAATTCAGAACAATGATTTGATCAGCATGTGTGATAGTAGATAGTCGATGTCTATAGATGAGGTTAGCAAAGGGAATGACATACAACATTTGACTTCACATACGCGATTATGAGCAAAGTACGGCCCTGCCCAATGTTCCACACATTATCTTGAATCTCCTGTTCGGTATGTGAGTCGAGCGCTGATGTGGCTTCGTCCAACATAATGATGCGAGGGTTTTTGAGAATTGTTCGTGCAATCGCAACCCGCTGTTTTTCACCACCACTCAAACGAAGGCCTCGCTCTCCAACCTGGGTGTTGTATTGGTCGGGAAAAGAGAGAATGCGGTCGTGAATGCTAGCTGCCCTGCAAGCTTCGTAAACCTCTTCATCCGTAGCAGAAGGCCTCGCGTACTTCAGGTTGTACATCAAAGTCTCGTTAAAGAGAGTCGTGTCCTGAGGGACGACGCCAATCGCTTCTCTGACCGAGTTGATGGTCAAATCTTTGACGTTGCGACCGTCTAGTTCGATCGATCCCTCATCACAGTCGTAGTAGCGAAACATGTGGCGAAACAATGTCGACTTGCCACCACCCGACTCGCCGACAAAAGCTGTCGTGGTGCCGGGAAGACACTCAAACGAAATGTTGCGTAGCGCGGGCTTTCGTCGGTCATACGAGAAGCTAACATTGTTCCAGCACACATGACCTTGGAAATCCTTGCCTAGCGGAACAGCGTGAGGAGTGTCTACTACCGTTGGCTGAATTTTAAAGAGTTCAAGCAGCCTCTCACCAGAAATCATGGCTTGCTGAACCGTTCGGTAGAAAGTGCCGAAGAAGTTGAGAGGCCCCTGGAGCTGTGTTAAGTAGGAGACAACCATGAACCAGTCGCCGGTAGTACGAAGACCCATAGCGACCTGCCAGCCGCAGACCAATGCTGCAATTATTCTCCCGAGGTTAAAAACCACGGTCTGGCAAATGTTCATCATCATCATGCCCATCTGAACCTTGGCTTCAGCTCCTTGAAAGACGGCCACCTTGCCTTGGTAGCGCCGAGACTCGAATTCTTCCGCGTTGAAGTATTTGACCGTTTCGTAACTAGAGATCGAGTCGTTTTTTACAGCTTCTTCCTCGCGGTCGGCATTTGTCATCTCTCGACGCTGATCGGCTCGAGTCGATGCCATTTTGATGGTCATGTACAGATACCAACAAGTATCGACAAGATTGATCTCGGCATACAGCGGACCATACTCGTAGTAGAAGACTGAAATGGCGAGGAAAAGATCAAATAGCATAGGAAAGACCTGAAAGGTGACTTGTTCGAGGAACTGATTGATTGATGAGCCCTTGTTGAGTGCGGACAAGACTTCGCCGGTACGCTTTGAAAGATGGAAATCGAGGCTAAGCGAGTGGACGTGGTTGAAAGCGGCTGTCGTTAGTCCGCGATAAGAATATTGTGAGACGGGAATCCAGAGAATTGATCTGAGAGAGCCCAAAAGTCCCGATTGACCTTGCAGGATCCATAAGAGCCCAAGAATCATGAAATCTTTCAGTGGGAAATTGTCCATTGAAAGACGTTCGCCACTCTGAACAAGCTTGATCACATCTTCGAGATCGTTGACTACCCGCTTTACGGCCATTGGAACAGCCACATTAACCAGGCGCTGCAGCATGACCAAGATGAAGCAAACCAAAACGTTGATCTGAAGCTTGACAGAGTCTTTGGGCCACAGGTATGGAAAGAACAGAGAGTACCCCTTAAAATACTCCCACCATGTCTTGTGTGGCAGCTTCTCGGGTCGATAGAAGGCAGCAGGCTCTTCCTTCTTAGGGAAACTTGGCGTCTTGTGTGCATTCGAGATAGTTCTGCCGCGCCCACGACGACCATTAGTCTCTCGGCCGTTGGGTTCTCGGCCATTAGGGATCTGGCCGTTAGCCAGTTGTCCATTGGTATCGTACGACCGGCGATGTCCGTTGAGCAGTGGTGTTGATTCGGCCGGGTGGGCTTCTTCAATCTTGTTATCGTCGGAACCGCGAGCTTTGCGAATCCATGCCAAACTAAAAACTCCGATCAGGGCGAGAAGATGAAGAATTCGGATGAAATAGAGCACAAGGTCGAGCTTGGTCCAATAATCCACACAATTCCCATCTTTTCTTGAACCGTTGTTTCTAACGGACCGGAAAAAGTGGCAATCAACAGCAGCAACTGCGGTTGTTGAGCATATGACGATTTCGCCAATGAAGCCCAAGATCCAGACAACGAAATGAACGATATTCGGACCTTTGCGCCAGTCGAAAAGAGATATGAGAATGTAGAGGTAGAAGAAGAGAGCGCCGGTAACGTGGACCTGTGTGAAAAGTGGTCAGTTCGAGTTACAGCAGTATTCTAGCGGCGCTTCAAGGATCTCGTGGTTCACGTACAACGCTCCATTCGCCAGCCCATGGAAGTCCCTCCTTGGACCAGCTGTAAGGGTCTTCGAACCAGAAAGCATGGTAAAACATGAATCCAGCACTGCACACGTAGGTCAGGAAGACAACAAAGGCGAGGTAACGGAAAACATTTTTGGCGGTGCGACCAAAGCCAGGCCCAATCTTACGATCACCGTCGGCGCGAGAGCTCTTCTTCTTGGTAATAGGTAATGGTTTGCCTCCGGGACCCTTAATTGTAGAATGGACTTGATCTTCTTGCTTCTTGGAGTTGACAACGCTGTACCAAGCAGCACCGGATATGAATGCTATAAGTAGGATGAGGGCGTAGAGGTATTGTGTTTTGCGCAGGATGTAATCGGCTAGAGGCAGGTCATCGCGGCCAGCACCGCGAAGGAGAGTGGTCGCGATGTCATCGGCGGAAGCCATGATGGCGGACTAAAATTGTTGTGAGCGTCGATTGTCGTCAGGTCAGGTCAGGTCAAAGAGCGGCGGCCCATATGTGCACTATCTAGTCCGAGTAGAGGACGATTTGGGATAGAAGAGAGAAAGGTCTTCACCGCGGACAAAGCATGGCCCTGCCCGTGGCAATTGACGGGACAGAGGGGCCAAAAAACGAGTGAGTGGCGGGGAAATGGAGGGAGAGGCAGAAGTTGTTGATGTTGGAGAGTTAAAAGACTCGACGACTCGCTCGCTCGCTCGAGGTTCGAAGACGAGTGCGGTCTAAGTCCTGCTTTGAGCCGACTCAGCAAGTGCAGGTGCGGTCGGTGCCACTGCGACTGCAAGGTGCAAGGTCTCTCTTTCTCAAGGTGCAAGTGCAAGTGCAATGGAGTGCAGAGTGCAGGCATGTGCAGGTGCATGTGCAGGGGAGGTGCGACCTGCCGGGTGCAGGGTGCCGGGTGCCAGGTGCCAGCTGCAGCAGGACAGGTGCCCACTGCCTAGGTAGCCACTTAAGCAGGTTAGGGGCAAGCGCGATCCGAATGGTCTTTTGGGGCACCGCATCGCTCGCAGCGCCAATCCAAGGCCAGTCAAGGCCAGGACAAGAAGGGCAAGCAACTGTCCCCAGTTTCCCGCCGGACAGGGTGTGAAGACGCAACTAACAGCACCTTAAAACATTGATTGACCTGACTGCCCGCTGAACGAACAGCAACCTAACTCAGTGGAGGCCAATGAAATGAAACCTCCTACAAAGAAAGGTAAGCACTGCTGGGCAGGCACAGCTCACACAGACAACACCATCAACTCAGCATAGACGGTAAAGAAGGGTATACTTCAACGACCTCTATACTATCCATTAGGTACCGTTCATTGCCCCTCCAGCTCGACTGAACCCAGTCCGGTTCAGCTTCCTCTCCCTCAGCGTAACGGCCATCTTTACCCAACATTACACCAACAACCAAGAGGCGAAAACCACATGGGCTTGATGGTGGAGTGAAGAGCAGGTGCCCATGCCAGTGCCAGTTGCGTATCCAGGCCTTTGCCTGGCGGGCAAAGAACAGTATTTGGGGCCTGTGGTGGGGCAGCTGACTTGGGTTGGTGGCAAAAGCCACCCCGAGGACTGACCTGGTCCCATCGACATCTCCTTGGCTTGTCCATCAATTTGGACGGATGAATGGACGAGTGGAAGAACGACGAACGACGGGTTGGATGAAGAGATGACTGTGTTGGTGTATGCTTCGGTGGGCGGAGGACGACGACGACGACGATGGAAATCAAGAGAAAAAGAGAAAAGGATAATAAAAACCCGGTCACATACCTCTTTCGAGCACTTCTTCCTGTTCAAGTGCCAACACTGAATGAATACGTCTGCTCCCGTTGTTCAAAGGGTTCAAGGGTCCCCCAATACGAGTTTGGGGACTAGACTAACAGGTTATTCTGTATCCGTGGTTTCGCAGTCTTCTTTCGGTTTATATCGAATCTAACAGCGTGTGTTTACTTTGACAATTCGAGTCAACTTCTTAACTACAACTATGTTGACAGTAGTTTCCCTTGAATGGTTACTGGGACAAAGATAGTTATCTTGCAGTAGTCTTGTCTAATATTGTTTTTGAGATTGGATTGCTTGGGCGTTGCTGGATCGTTGCTAGATCGTTGGTGCTTGGTAGTCCGATCGATAGGTCGGTCACTTACTGTACTCAGTCAGTCAGCTGTCGCTATTCTTGACCTGGAATCCTGATGTACTGTAGAAGAAGCAACCAGTCTTTCGTTCCGATGACTACAATATTGCCCCAGTAGGCCTCCCGAGTCCCTCTTTCTATTCTCTAAGACCCTATCCATCATCTCATGCCTATGTTTCTTGGAAAGGTTCTTGCTTAACCACAAGCAGCGCCTCTCTTCTAGGCCCTCTGAGCCTCCCGGCGTTCTCCTAGAGGTGGGACGCATTTTCTGAACCATACGCCTCTGATCCAGTACAGTACACACCTCTCCCACACACGCACGCACGTCTTCTGGGCATCAACTACCCAGAAACAGCTAGGATAAGGTGGACCGCTTCTTCTGGTGGGGACAGAGAGGCTTGAGCCTTGAGCAGATGGAGGGTCCCCTGTTTCTTTTGGAGTTGCGAGACATCCAGTAACATTCTCGAGTCCTTCTTCTCATGTTCGTTGGATCCGCTTTCGAGGTTCGATGGGTCTGGGAATTTGAGAATGCTTGTCTTTGGTTTGGGTTGGGTTTTGTGCCAAGAACGTGAATCACGATGGAATGGTATTAAAGACGATGAATGATCCGCAGAGGCGCATGGACGTTGACAAACCTGACCTGACCTGGACTGACCTGGACAGACAGACAGCTTAAAACGCTGGTGCCGCGGTATCAAAACGAATGTATCCGTACGAGGTGAGAGAGACTGCGTTATTACGACGCGACTCGGGCGTTTACTGCAGTTAGCTAGCAATTCAGATCCATCTATCTATAATTATCCCGTCACTAACAGCAGTGAATTATTGATGTCCAGCACCACTTGAGTCGTTTTCACGTGGGTCAAATCATAGACTCGGCTTTTCTTAGAACATCAACATGTGTTTTAAGGATATGTATTGCGTGTAAAAGATCATTAGCGTTTACAGGTGACCAAGTTAAGGGGACGTATGAATATGGTTTTGTTCTTTTTAAGGAAACGGGTCCTAATACAACCTTGATATATTGCAATGTGCAGTCAATCTCAACACCTTGCCTAGCTAGCATGGTTCCGCTTCAGGTGAGATCGGGGACGGGTTGACCAACGGCCAGGTCCCGGGTTAATTGAAGATGCAATAGAATTAGAACAGAGAGTAATTAATCGTACTCTACTGACATGTATTGGATCATCATATTCATCCATAATCAATTTCAATACCCCTATTGGTTCGGTTCGTATCGTGATAGCGCACCACCTCAGCTCTGAAGATGTCCTAATTAAGACTACTTGGCTACCTAAGCTAGTCTAGATAAGTTAGAAGACGTACTGTTCTGTTCTGTACTGCAGTCTACCTGCTGTATCATTGTCCCTTATCGATCAATCTATCGATTGTCGGCGCCTTTGTCATGTTAAAGATTCCCCATCCGTTACACTGACCGGACCGAAGGGCGCATAGCGGCTTGAATAGGTCCTATTGGCTCGTGTCCTGTCCCTGTGCGTGCTTCGCTGCGGTACGGGTACGGGTTCGGGTTCGGTGCGGTAGGGTCATTGCAGTAGTAGACGGCTTTGTGCGCTGTTGTGTGTATCATGGATCAAGGTATTGTATTGTAAATTATCCATGGATTGGCGCATCAGAGCTATGTACTAGAGAGTGCAGTATATGCCTAGTAGATAGACCCAGGAAACCGAATGGATAAATATGATAGGTATGGGACGAATTATTTTGTTGGTTTGCTTCCAAAGACAGGCATTGTCCTGAGCGGTGTGTAGTTGCATGTCTCTTGTCTTGTCTTGTACCAACATCCACATCCTCCTACCCATCAATCATGAACAAACAGCTTTGACCTTTGAGCAAGTGGTCCCGGTGACTGCGGTGATGGCAGATAGTGATGATGTAAGTGAGGGCCATGAGTTCCATGTTCCGTGCCTTAACTCGCTGTGTTGGTTGCACAAAGACATGACATCCGTCCATCCATACTGCTGTACTCTAGTGTACTGTAAGTTGCTGTACTCTTTTCACGATTGCTTTGCATCCGAATAAGAGACTGTTGGAGACATCCCACCCCACAAGTCAACTGGCGATCACGTACTGTACTGTAGTCTGGAGGTGGTAGACTACTAAAGTACATGCAGGGCTTGAGGTGTCAAGATGCTTGTCTTGGCGTGGTGGTGATCCTGGCAATCTATCATGAATACTGCTAACATGATATATATATGAACTTGAGAGTTTAATCTTTGGTACAATCACTCAACGTATACAATACATGCTTTGTTCTATAGAATAATCTATAGATACTACTAAAACGGGCATCCAAGTACTGTGCTGTACTATACTGTACTGTATTTTGATACTGGCCCCGTGCTCATTCATCCACATCTATCCTCGATCCCGGTAGCTAGATCCATCCATCCATCACCTTACCTTGTCAAAACAGATCTGAGCTTCTGACGTAAGGTATCTACTCTAGGTACCTTATAGAGGTAGCCGTGTTTTTGTTTCCAGGGCCTGCACATGCACATGCAGCCTCTCTAATCGGCCGTCGTCATCCGAGTCAAGTCAGATGGGAGACCAGGCGAGTCAGGAGGACGTTCCTCGGCCAGCGACGGAACAAGGTAGATCACGGCTGTTTACCTATCCGTGTGACTAGATAGGTTCTTATTTCCGAGACAAGAACCGTTGTTGGGTACTGTACTGTAGCAGAAAGCCGGGGTAGCGATCGATGTAAGGGAAGGGAAGGGAGAAAAGAAAGAAAACCAAAGACTCTTTCACCGGCCAGCTCGCTTCGCTGCGTGCTGTGTCACAAAACCTTACAGTAGCCTGCAGATTGGACATTGATCTTGTCCTTTTTCGCGCAAGCTACAGTAGTTTGCTGCATGTGGCTATGCGTGTTGACGCAGGTCCCTAGGAGAGAAGAGACAACTGAGAGAGCAATTGGCGAATGGGAGCTGACGATGCCTTCGACCGTCAACTATTCGTCGCACTGCACCCAGGATCTCTTTTAGTTACATGAAGGCCAAGGCGCGGTACGGCACTTGGATGCATTTGGATGCACTCGAGGATGCGACGCGATACGATACGATGGCATAGTTAGTAGTACCTATCTTGCGGTGTAAGAAAAGTTCAAAGTTCTTTTACCAAAGCATATTATTACCATAACAGACTCCAAATGCCTGCCTGTTTGTTTAGATATTACAATCAATGGGGATAAACATACATAGACTATCACGTATAGCTACCTCCTGTATGAAGTATGTACTGTACTGATACCCATACTGTATCTGGGTATAACAAATGCTTGTTAGTTTCCTCTCC